TAATTTCTCTTTTTACCTAGGCTTTTTTATTTATTATTTTAAAAGCTTATTAAAGCGCGGCTTTAAAGGCTTTAAAGCTAGAATAAAGGTTTATAATCTATAGTAAGTATTTATTAAGTAATTTAATAAGGTATTGAGTTGGGGGAGAGGCGTGCTAGGCCGTTTTGGGCTATTAGGCAATTTCCTATACGTAGAAAAGGGCCAAGGCCGCGGCCCTAACTATTATTATTATTATCTTCTTAAAGGATCGGATTAAGAATAGGGAGCTTAAGGGCTCTTTTCTTAAGAAGATCTTTATTACTATTAATTAATTATTTACCTTTATTATTTTATATAGTATTTAATTTACGAGAAAATATATAAAATCTCTTTTTTAAAAGTTATTAGAAGAAAGTTATATAAGAAGTTTTAGCTATAATTAATATATTCTATTTCTCTAATAAATCTAGTGCCCCTATATAAGGTCTTTTAATACTCTTGCTTCTATAATTACTAGGATATATTACTTAAAGGCGATTTAATTAATTAGATAAGAGAGTATACTTTTATACTACTAATCGATAAACTATAAATATAACTACTATTATTAGGCTAAAAGAGAATAAAACGCTAAAAACTATTATAAGTAAGAAAAAGGTAGGAATCAGAGAGACCCCGAGAAGTCATTTAGTTAAGAAGGGAGACCGATTACGAATATACCTTGCTCTCCTTTGACCCTGGATTTTAAGATATTATTTAATTAAATTCCCTTAAAGAGTTAAGGCTAAGATAGACCCCTAGAATACCCTATAAAAGGCGAATATAGGGAAATAGAGGTATCTACCTATTATAGATAAGGAGAGAAATAATAATAATAGTATATAATTAAAATAAAAAACCGTATTTCTTAATAAGACTAGTAGTTTAGTCTTACTTAAGACACCTAGAGGACTCCTAACTAAGTAGTAATAAAAGGTCTTAGTAATAGGAATTCTTATTTAGATAATTATAAAGAGCGAGGCTCTTATTACTCTTATCCTTATCCTTATAATATTTAAGAAAGCCTCTATAGCTAACTTATTTTATATTATAATAACTAAGAATCTTAAAGTAAGAAACTAGCCTTACTAGGAATTAACTAATTAAATACCTATTATTATAATTACTATTACCTTAACTATAAAGATAGCCTAGAATAATAAAAGCGTTAACCTTAGAAAGAGGTCTAGTAATATCTAAGGCTAGAACCTAGAGATAGGAGGCAATAAGGCCGCCGAAGGTAATAACGAGGTTAATAAACTCCTTCTTAAGATCCTAACTAAGGGATTAAATAATCCCTTTTTTACTATCCCTCTTAACCCCCTCCCCCTCTTTAAGGGAAAAGATATAACTAAGTACCTCTAAAACTTTAATTAATAGGCGGAACTTATAAATATCTCTAAGGATAAAAAAGTAGCTCTCTTTAAGTTATATATTAATTAAGAGATTAAGAGGGAGGCCTAATAAGCTATAGATAGACTTAATTAGGAAGCTACCTAAGAGAGCCTAAAAGAAGCCTTTGCGAATAAAGATTCTAATTAATTAGAGACTATTAAGGAGAAATTAGAAATACTTAATAAAACTTATCTAAAGGTAGACTTCTATATTATTATTAAATAGCTAAATAAGTACTAATACCTCTTTTAGTAGATTAATAATAATTAAAAGATATCTAAGAGCTAATTTAAAATAATTTATAAAATATTCCCTAAGGAGATTATTAAGGGTATTTATGAAAGATATAATAAGAATATCTATGAGCTTATAGCTATAGAGTATTATATACTTACCTAAATAATTAAATAATACTATAAAAATAAGATTAAGATTTAGAAGACTTATTACCCCCGGAGCGAAGAGGATACCCACTGGGTTACCTAGGCCCTAACTCCTCCTAAGAGCCTAAGCCCTTCTATAAAGATAACTAAGACCCTAAAGATCCTTAAGAAAAAATCTAATAAAGTAATAACCTCAAAGATCGACTAATTAACTACATAGCTTAGCCAACTTATAATTAATATAGCAAAGGGGTAAGAATCCTAACTATAATTAGCTTAAATCCTTGAGAGAGAATATAATAAGTAGGTAGCCTTAAGAGCGCCTTAGGCTTTTAAGATAAATATAGTATTACTTAATTAAATATATAATAGCTAGAACTTCTATATAATTATAGCGTATAGATCTAGGCGAGGTAGCTACTAGAATAATATAATATACTAGTATTATAGCGAGAGAAATTACTTCCTAAGTAACTATATAGACTTTACCTATAATAAGAATAATAGGATTATAAGTTATAACCTATAAGGTAGCGCGGCTTTCCTAGGAAGGTCTAATAAGATATTACCGCTAAACCTAGTCTATGCCTTTAGGAGGTTTAGGATCTATAAGCTAGTTTATAACTAGCTAAGTTACTTCCTAAAATTAGATATATTTCCCTTAGTTAGGAAGATAGAATAATATAACCGCGCGGGAATTAACTTCTAATTAACCTAATAAGAGAATATTATAATTAATAATTAGATTAAGAAGAACCCTAAGGCTATAAACCTCTACTAACCGGCATATAAGTCCCTAGTAGGATTTAATTAATTACCTATAGATATTATAAAGGGAAACTAGGATATCTTAGATAGCTAGAACCTACTAATAAGAGCCTCTACTAATATTATTTTAATTAATAAAGAAACTATGCCTTTTGATCGCGCCGGAGAGCTCTAAATAATTACTATGACTACTATGGCTATTAATGCTAATATAAGGAAGAGGGTCTATATTAAGGATATTACTAAAGCCTAAGAAGCGGCGTAGCCTATCCGGAGGTTTATATCGATAGAGAAAATACCTATGATTAATAAGGAAAAAAATAAGAGATTTTAAATACTTAAAGAGAAGTAGGCCTCTATCCTATAAGAGCTAAGAGATAAGTATTAAACTAAGAAAATTTTAGTTATAGCTAATAAGCTTTTTATATTATTACTATAACTTAGAAGAGAGGTAATAGAAGATTATTAAGATATTATTAATAGTATCGAATAAATTACCTATATTAAACCCGCCCCGTATACTACTAGAGAGACGCAAGGATTATTTAATTAGAAGCCTTAGGGTATAAATGCGATCTAGATCGGCAAATAAGACTAAGGGGAGTTATACTAGGTAGAGATTAGTAAGAGAGCTAAAGTAAATATAATCCTTATTAATAATAAGCCTTAAATTAAGCGAACTAATGAAGTTATAAAAGATCTTTAACTTAGCGACTATATTATTATTATTAATATAGGCATAAAGGATAAGGAAACCGGGACTATAGAAGTGTATTAGGATAAGGCAGAGGCTATAGGAGGGAATAAGACTACTACTAAGCACGATAAATTAACTAATTAGATAATTAATATCGTCGAATTATTACTAAAAGGTTAGGGTAAGGCTATTATATAATTATAAGAGCTACCCTGAATTCTAATCTGATTTAATAATATAGAGGGTAAGGTCATTAAGGCTATAATAGATATTAGTTCTAAAGGGAATATTATCTTAGAAGAGCTCGCGAGGATATATAGCCTTAAGGTTATAATTACGAGGGCTTCTATAACCTCTTTTTCCTAAGATAAGGTTACTATGCTCGGCTAAGTAATAGTCTAGCTATACCTTAGAAATATATAGATCTAGCAAAGGATATATATAGCGCCCTCTAAGGGGATCTTAATTCCCTTTATTCTTAGTATATTATTTATCTACTCGGCAAAGGTATTATTTAATTATTTAACTAAGGATAATTCTATGCTTTTTTATTATTAACTAGGTAGTATATATATAATTACCCTTATTACTAGCTCTATTAAATAAGAAGCGCTAAACTATAGTATAGATAATAATATATTATTAAAATAAATATTAACCTTCTATCTAAACCTAAGGTTAATTAAGAGAGTAATTTAAGACCTAATAATATCTTAATATTATTATAGTAATTAAGTTAGGAGTTAGGGGAGGAGGTAATTAATATTATTAAAATAAAGATAATTAGGTAATACTATATAGCCCTTTAAGATATAAATTATTTAATTAAGAGATAAGCGATAAAAAAATATAAGATATAGAAAGGAAAAGACCTACCTAATTAGAGTAAATTAAAAGAGATTTTAATTAATACTCTTTATAAAAGAAAGGGTATTAAGATCTACCTAAGGGATAATATCCTATTAGATAGCTTTACCCTAGAGGGTAACCCTAAGTAAAAAGCTAAGAAATAGGAGAGAATAAAAGAGAAGCTTTAAGAAGATTTAAAGTACTAAGATTAAATTACGCTAAAGTTCTTAGATATTAAGCGAGGAACCTAGATTTATAAAGAGCGACTTTAAGGACTAATTAATTAAATAAATAATACCCTTATGCGCAAAGAATTAGATATATTCCTTGAGATTATATATAATAAAGAAGTAGTACTTATATAAGAATTTTTAGAATATAGGAAACTCGACCTACTTATTATACCGCTATAGGTTATTAGGGTAATTAAATATAAGGCCTAGTAAGCAAAAGGTATACCTATTCCTAAGGGATATAAGAAGGAAGTTATTAAGCTTCTAAGAACCTAGATAGAGAGAGAAATCCTCGAAGAAGGCCATAGCCCCTATAGGAACTTATTCTTTTTTATTTAGAAAAAAGATAATTAGTTTCAATTAATTAATTTAGCTATATTAATAAATAAGCATATAATTAGGGATAGCCTTATTCCTCTAGGCTATAATAAGTTCTCTATAGATTTTACTATATATAAGATATTATTACTTTTAGACTTCTTCTTAGGATATAATTAGATAGAATTAGCAGAGGTTAGTAGAGACCTAACTAGCTTTATGATATTAATTAGGCTACTAAGGATATATATATTACCGCAAGGAGCTATGAATTTAATCGCCTAGTTTACCTAGAATATTCTTTAAATCCTAAGAGACCTTATTCCTAATATATATTAATCCTTCCTAGATAATATTTGCGTTAGGGGACCCACAATAGACTATAACAAGGAGAAAGTAGCGCTAAGAATACGCCATTTCGTTCTAGAGTATTTAATCAACCTCGATAAGGTACTAATAAATATTAAGCTATTTAGTTACATAGTTATAGGCTAGAAGTCTTAATTTTATAGGATAATAGCGGTAATAATTAGATACCTTTATAGAACTTATAGGAGGAAACTAAAGGAAAAGAAAGTTATAAAGATTTTAGAGTAAAAAGTTTACCTTAATATAAGGGAAATAAGATCTTTCCTAGGCATTATAGGGTATTATTATTAATAGATTAAATAGTTTATATAGATTATAAAAGCCTTAATAGATCTATTAAAGAAAGATACTAAGTTTATCTAGGGAGCAGACTAAAAAGGGGCTATAGAGATATTAAAGAAGAAAATTATAGCACCGCCGATTCTTATTACTCTTAATTACTCCGAAGAAGCTAAGGAGGTAATCCTTATAGTTAATATAAGCCTCCTAGGCTAGGGAGGCATTTTAATATAATTAATTAATAGAAAATAGAAGCTAATTTAATTTAAATCTGGATTATAAAACCTAGCTAAGACTAAATATAATATAACGAAGAGGGAATATAGGGTAGTCCTTTATGCATTTCGCCGCCTTAGAGGCATAATATATAATATCCCCTTCGTCCTCGAGACTAATTCGCAAGTACTAATCTACTAAATTAACGGCAAGGCAAACGATATCCCCAGATCCCTAGTTCTAAGATAGATTAGCTACCTTCTTTTATTTAATTTCATGGTTAGATATATACCTAGAAAGAAGAACTATATAGCGGATAGGTTATTACGAAAATACGTGGGACTATCTAATTAAATAAATGCCTAGGTTAAAAGGGATATTAAGGATTTTATTAACCTCTATCTTAACTTAGTCTATGTTAATAATAAGCCTAGTATCTTAGATAATACCTACTCATAGGGGCATAAAGATATAGCTAAATACTTCTATATATTTAAGAAACCTAAGGGGCTAATATGCTCGTAATTATAATAGTTTAAAAGAAAAGCCCTTATATTTTTTATTTAAGGGCGATAACTCTAGAAATAAGCTAAAAGGGACTATAACTTACCCCTACTAATAGTCGATAATCTATTAATATAGAGGAAATTAATTAAATTATATTATATTAATAGCGGCTATAAAGGGAGAGAAGTAACCTATAACCTCACGAAGAAGAGATATTTCTAGAATAGCATATAGAGCTAGATCTCAGAAGTAATATAGTACTATCTAACTTATTAGGTATATGCCCCTTAGAGGCTATTAGAAGCTATCTAGTTTACTTAACTATTTAATCCTATAATTAAGGTTTATTTTAACTATTAATATATACCCCTTAACTAAGGATTTAAGTACCTAGTAGAAGCAAAGTATAATATAATAGGATAAATAAAAGTAATTCCCTTAAAAAAGATCTTAGCTATAGCGTTAAAATACTTCGTAATTAACCTTATTTATTAATTTAGTATAATTTCTGCGGCTATTATAAATAATAGTCCTAAATTTAAGAAGGAGTTCTTATTTTTACTTAAAGAATTAAGAGTATAAAAGATCTAAATATCTCTATATAATACTAAGGCTAATAGCATTAATAAATAAAGATATTACTCCTTTTTAATAGCTTTAAGGAAATTAAAGAAAAAAGGGAAGGCAAACTAATATAATAACCTAGAGAAAGTACTATTTGCCGATAAAATAGCTATAAAGGCACTATATAAATACTCCCCTTTCTACCTTATCTATAGCTAGGAGCTAGTATACCCTCTAGAGGTTAATATTCCTACTTAGCGATTAATTAATTAAGATAATATAGCTATAATAGAAGACCTTATCCTAGCGAGGATTAAGGTCCTTAAAAGGAAAAGCAAAGATATAGAGGTAATATAATAAAAGATTAGGGTATTCCGGGCGAAGGTTATAAAGAAATAAAATAAGAAGAATATTTATAGGCTAAGAAAGACCCCCCTAAAGGTTAGGGACTTAATATTAAGATTTAATATTCCCTAATTAATTAATATATTAATAAAGATAAAAATAGCGCGTAAATAATATAATCTATTTTATATCTTTAAATATTATAATAAAGCGAATTATTATAAGCTAGAGACACTTAATAGCTATAAGATTACTAAATCTATCTATAGAGATTACTTAAAGAAGTTTATAAAGGATAAGAATAATTAATAGGAAAGAGAATTAGATAAAGAGGAAGCCCTTAAGAAGCTCTAGGAGGAAAAAGAGAATTCTAAGAGATATAAAAGGAAAGAGAATATATAAATAATAAGGAGCATAAAGAATTTAATTAATTAAATAATTAATTAAGAAAATAATAGCAAAAGCAATAATATAGATAATAAGGAGGAAGATCTTAGTAAGAAGAGTAAGATATAATACCTAAAGAGATAGACTTTAGTGCGTATAGAAGTTTAATTCCTTAGCCTCACTACTAAGCAAGCTACTTAGTATAAGAGTCTCTAAGGAGAAATAGCGAGATAGGCAGCTAGTATTAAAAACCTATAAGGATCCTTAGGTTTCTAGTAAGGGAGGAAGAGAAAAAAGAGAAATTTTATATTATAATATAACTACCGGAAATTTTTAATAAAACTAGATATTTTATTTTACGAGGGATATATAAAATATTTAATTAAATACTAGGGATACCGCCTAAGATATAAGGGATACTATCTAGGATAGGCTAGATATAATAAGAGATAGCTATAATACTATCTATAATATTTTAGATATAATACTTAAATTTATTATTTCTTAGAAAATAGGCTTAATATAAGAGCAATAAAAAATAGCTAGGAATAGATAAGGGTCCTAATAAGAATATTAGAAGCAATTAGAAATAATTAATTAATTAAAAAGCAATTATAGACGTAAAACCAGGCCTCGCTATAAGGTAGGCTAAAATAATAAAAACGCTATATTACGCCCACTTAGAATCCATAATCACTCGAAATATATCGCCTCTTAAAAACCAGTCTTATTAGCCCTCTCCTTAAGGGTAAGTCCTCGTAACTTATTAAGAAGTTAACGGTCTATTTTAATAGACCTATTAATTAAAGGGTATTTATAAGAAATATAAGGATAAGATATTAGATTTAATTAATTAATTAAAACCTTATCTAATAGATTTGCTAGAGTCTCTTTTCCTAGAAATAGCTATTCTAGAAGACCCTCTATAGTAAACTTCGGTTAATATCTAGTTATAAACTCCTACTCGCAGGGCTTTTAGTGCCAAATATAGTTAATATATTTCCTATTTATAAAGCCCTTAATAGAGATATAAGTTAAGAAGGGATATAAGATATACTCCTTATTCTAGCTAATATTTATTAAGTATAACTAATAGTAATAATAATAAAGAATAGGGTTATAGTAACCGAGAAGGGCGATTCTAAGAGCCTTTCGGTGCTTAGGGCATAAGATCAATTACTTAAAGAACTAACCGCGAGGATAAGCGAAATTAGCGGGGATATAAATAGGCTAAAGAGGATACTTAGAGATTAGGGAGATAAGCTCCCCTATAACCTTATTGGGAATACTATAGTATTTAAAGAATATTTTTATATATGCCTTTGGGTTCTTACCTAGGCTATTATTAAAAGTAAGCTCTATATATAAAGGATAATTATCCCGGTCAAGAGCGAAGCGAGAATAGATCTAGACCTTTAGATACTCGTAGATCTATTTAATTATTTAATTAGAAAGAATATTAAGGGCAGAAAGGATTTAAGAATAAGCCTAGGGAAGATAGGCGTTTTTTGCCTCCTAAGGGGTAATCTTAAAACCTCTATAATCGCTCTATTACGAAGAGGTACCCTTCTAGAAGTTAGAATATGAAATCTAAGTCTTAGTAATAGCCTAAATATTAAGAAGAAGATTTTACTGCTTAGTAGCGAGAATCTTATAAGGAAGCGGCATAAATATAATAAATTAATTAATTAAAAAGTATAGAGGGGTATAAAATTAAAGAGGAAGAGGAGGGAAAAATAAAGAGTATAAAAGGTTAAGTATATAAGAAAGAAGAAAAATATATTAGAAAGGAGTAGCCTATTTAGGTAACCTCTATGCATAAGACTATGAATTACGATTAACCTTTGCGGGCAATAAAAGAACTATTTAGCACCGAAGTAATTAAATAGCCGACCTTTTCTTTTTATACCTATCGCATAGGTAATACTTTGCCTCTTCTCTTTATATAAATAAAGCCTAAACTTACTTTATTCCCTCTTACCTCTTTATAAACTAACTAATTAAACTATAAATACCCTTTTATTTATTTTATATAACTATAATTAATGCTTAAATAGATAAGAATCCTTTATCTAATAACCCTCGGATTAAGATAAATCTAGTAATTAGTTTTATTATAACCCCTATACCTCTTCGAAGATTATTATTATAAAGAGTATTAAATCTTTCTATATTTAATTAGATAAGATAATACTATAATTATATTATATACCCGCTATGAAGATAAAAAAGAACTATGATACCCTAATCTATACCCCACGAGTTATTAAGATATTACTAAAGACTATATTCTTTACCCCTAAGGGCCCTTATAGGTATATAAGTATACGGCCGAAGTAAGCTTACCTAGTTACCTAGGTTAAAGGCATTAGCAGGTAAGGAAGCTTCCTTAAGAAGGATAAGACTATTATTAATATAATTCCCGAATTATATAATAATAAATAATTATTATTCTTTTAGCCTTATAAGGAATAAAACCACTAGGACCTAGTAACCTTTAAGTACCCTTATATAATAAATAATCAGTAATTAATTAATTAAAAGCTAAGTAAGACTAAGCTCTAGCGAAGCTACTTCGAGAACCTAACCTTTAATATCTCCTAGGCGGACTATATTAAAAGCCTTTAGTATCTATACTAAGATCTAACTTACGACGATAAGATATTACTTAATATCTCGATTAGAGGAGTATTATAGATACTCGCGAATAAGCTTAAGAAGGTTATTATAGTTACTAGGTGCGAGATTAAGATCCCCGGGAAGGAGTTAAAGTATAATTCCTATTAGAATACCCCTATGCTATACCTACTAGATTATTACGACTAGATTAAAGCCTACTTTAATATAGGGTTCTATAGGCCTAGGAGATAATATAAATCCCTTATTAGAAAGAGATTCTTTATTAGCTTTATCTAATACTAATATAATAGCTACTTTATAACCTTTATTTAAGATAAAAAGAAAGTAAACCTCTATTATTTTAATACCCTACTAAATAATTAGATAATTTAAATAAAGAATATCTCCCTTACCTAAAGAAAGTACCTTATAATAGCTAGATAACCTTATGACTTTAATTTTCACGTAATCCTACTAACTCTATAATAGGGAGCCTAAGAATATAGCCTTTTATCTTTATTTTATCTCTTTTAGACCCTTAGAGGGTTAATAAGATTAAGTATAGATATACTTACCTAACTTTACCCCCCTATGACCCTAGAGATTAATAAAGAGGAAAATAAACTAATAGGATTATTTAATCTATTAGTCCGTGACTAGATATTAGACTCTTAGACCCGCGTAGGAAAGTCTAAGGATATTATATATAATAATAATATAAAAGTAATTAAGGGTATTTTTTAGACTATGATTATTAATAAGATCGGGATCTAAGATAGCTATTATTTATATAAAATTAAAAGAGGACCTTTTGCGAAGTATTAATTAACCTATATAGACAAAGTTAAGTATAAACTAAGCTTCCCCGATGAATTAAAAGCTATAGAATAGCTCTATATTAATATAGGAGGTTATATACCCGCAGAGCTAGAATCTATTAGTACTATTAGTAACTAGATAATTAATCGCTTAATCTTAGCCTTAATAATAAATCCTAGCGATAAGGCACTTCTTCTGCAAGGACCTAGGCTATTATTAGCTATTATTATAGCTCTAGTCCTTATAGATATACCTAATAATCTAATTAGATAATATAAGCGCTAAGACTTTAAAATTAAGGATAATATACTAATTTTTAAAGGCAGGGAATTTATCTTATTGGATTCTTTATTGAGTTCTAAAGTACCCGACCTAGGGTTAAAGGTAATAATAAAGAAGCTAATAAACTTAATATTAAACCGCAAGAAGTAATTAATTAAACTCTTATAATTCCCCCTATTAATAATATTAATAGCGATAGGTAAGCCTATTACCCCGGTACCTTACGAGAAGATAAAGGACCCCTAGACTCCGAGCGGGCCTCTAAAGTCCCTCTCGCTAGGCACCCTAAAGCGCCTACGCCCCTCCTCGAAGAATAGCTCTAAGTATATATAGTCGAGCTTATCGTTAAGCTCTAGAGGAAAGGAATCTAAGCTAGGGGCTTAAAGAGGCGATAAACTAGTTAATTAAATAATAATAAGTTATAATTAGGGCGAGTATAAGGATAGGCAGTCCTATATTACTAATATTATACCTAATATTTAGGGCGCTAAATAGTTTATTTACTTAACTTTAGAAAGCAATAATAAATATACTTCGGCAAAGAGAATAATAAGCCTAGCTATAAAGATTATATTGATATTTCTAGGGTTAAAAGGCTAGCTTAGGGAGGTAAGAAGCTAGCCTACGCAGCGACTATTAACTAGGAACTATATAACTTATATGCTAGCGGGTCTTATAAGACTATCCCAGTGGGATAATATTATATAAGTAGCCGCGTAGCTATGGGCCCCTGCTATAGCTTCGAAGGAGAGTAGGGATAAGAGAATAAAGAAGCGGTAAAGAAGCTAAGGCAAATAATTAAATAATTTATAAGTACTCTAATAGGTAAGAAATTAAGTTAGGGAGGTCACGGGCTAAAATAAGCGAAAGAAATATCTAGGATTAACGAGGCTTTTTAGGAACCGTAAGGATAGGTATTAAAGCCTCGTGGGGAGCTATGAGTTAGGGGAGAGGCGTACTAGGCCGTTTTAGGCCATTAGGTAATTTCCTATACGTAGAAAAGGGCCAAGGCCGCGGCCCTGACTATTATTATTATTATCTTCTTAAAGGATTAGATTAAGAATAGGGAGCTTAAGGGCTCTTTTCTTAAGAAGATCTTTATTACTATTAATTAATTATTTGCCCTTATTATTTCATATAGTATTTAATTCACGAGAAAGTATATAAAATCTCTTTTTCGAAAGTTATTAAAAGAAAGTTATATAAGAAGTTTTAGCTATGGTTAGTGTGTTCTGTTTCTCTAATAAAGTATTCTTTTATAATAGGTTTAAATTAGGCTATAATATACTTAGTAAGATATCCTATAATATATTAGACCTTATTAAATATTATAGTAAACTAAGTAAAGTAATAAAATATAAATATATATAGCTATATAAAGAATATTAATAATTTATATATAATATTATTAAATTTCTTTAATTATTTTAACTTTAAGATTTCTTTAATATTTTTACTTTTTATAATAATAATTATTATATTATTAATATTCTAGATATTCTTATAATATTATTAGTTTTAAACTTATTAAGTAATAGCTATATAATTAATAAGTCCTCTAAGTTCCTTTATTTTAATAATTATAGTAATAACCTAGGTATAGAGTTATTTAATTTCTTTATTATTATTATTTATTTCCTCGTCGCTATTAAGATTAGCTTAAATTAATATAATAGGGGTAAATAGGTAATTAATAAATAGAACCTATTAGTAGTTATTACTAAGAGTAGCCTAAGTAGCTATTATATTTAATATTATTTAAGGTAATATAAGTAATCCTCTAAATAAGAGCTATTAATATATAATAAAAGGGTATTTCTTAAGGGATAAATCGGTTATATAGGTTTATATTAATAGAGGAGAATATTATATAACCTTAAAAGGTAATATAATATTATATCTAATAATATACTTAAGGTATTAAGTATAACTAAGTTATATTAATAGCTAAGGTAGTTATTATATAAGAAAGTATAATAAGTATATTTTATATATTTATAATTAATCCTTAGATTAATATTCTCTAGGTTTAGTCTAGGGTAGGACTAATATTTTTAATGTTTGGTCCCTAGATCGATGCGGGCGAAGTTTGGTCCCTTCGGTCCCTTGCTTAGTTAGAGTATTTCTGCTATACTTCCCCGCCTAGCTTATGTCATGGCCGTGATATGTATGAAGAGTATCTCTTTTCTATCCTATCTGGTATGATCGCGGGAGAGGGCATTGGAGGTGTTATTAACGCGATTATTGCCATTGCGGGTGTTCAAGCTGGTACCGGAATCGGCTGCCCTGCTGGAATATGTTGATTGTAATCTTCTGTATATATGTATTTCTTTGTTGCGAGATACTGGGGGTGCGTATTTCACTCATGATGGAAAGAGTCCTTTACGGCGAATGCCTGTCCTCCTGTCAGGACACTTGATCATAACCTTTTACCTTTACCTACGACCCATCTCAAGTACTCGTCTTGTGCGGATCGGGGATATAATAACTCCAGTTTCATACACAAGAGGATGACATACAGTCTATTAAAATTGCAGCGCCATCCCTCTCGATGCTCGTTTACCGTCTAAATCAAGTGGAGCTTGGCCGTCCCCGGGCCGCTGTGCAGCCTTGGCCTCTTCTTCTGGGCCCTCATCTGCGTCACTTGAAAAGCCTGTCTCACATGCTCAACACCAACAGGTTCCCTCTCAGTCTTGTCTGTCGTAAAGAGACCCTCGCGAACCTTGTTCACCGACCCCTTGGATCTCCCCTTCCGCTGGACTTCATTGTCTTGAATGGCCAGTGCTATCTCAGTCAATCGCTGTACCATCTCGCAGGCCAAGAAGCTGAGAATATCCAGACAATCATGTTTGGGCTCGGACTCAGCAATGACACCAAGACCACAGAACTCTCGGAATTTCTGTTTCTTGCGATAACTGAAAGATGCTCGGCGACGGGATTCGGCCCATGTCGTGTACTCTTTTGCCGTCATTCTCCTTGTGATTTGGTCTGCGCGACGCAGCCTCTCGACAGTCGCCTGGTTGGTTTCAGGGAGAAGACCCCCCGGCTCTTGGCTCTCCGGCAGCTCTACAGAGAAGTAAGAGTCGACGTCCCACAGTAACGCTAGTTTGGGACGCTTTTGGTTCTTTTTATCCTTTTGGACAGGGACGTCGAGAACCTCAGCCAAGTCTTTGACTGCGGCCAGTTCCGCATCGCACTTGTCACTTTTTGCCTTGCTCTTGAGGCGGAGCCGATTCCATCGGAGAAGGTTCATGAGTCGCCCAAGTCTTACTGGGTCATGTCGGATCTGGAAGAACAGGTCTGCGTTGGAGATGAAGCGGGCGCCGCGTGAGGATGCAAGTTCGTTGGCACTCGTGAGCTGAAAGACATTTAGCAGCTGTCGATTGCAAGGTGGAGTTAATATGTACCATGAGGACAAGTTGGTCTCGAATGATTTCTTCAACGACAGCGATCGTTTCGGCCGAAGGGTCTTGAGTCTCGCCAGCGATGTACATCATCTGTTTGGTCAGTCAACACATGCGAAGAAAAACGAATGTGATGGACAAATACCCGCTGAATCTCGGATGCGAACTTGGGCTTGTACGTAGACATTACGAAATGATTGACCGTATGTGCTCAACTCAAATCCAAGGCTTGAACAGGGTTGTACGGCAACAAATTGTTGCCGATTTATACTGGAGATGACCTTTGCTGTCCATGATGCTCTGATTCACACTGTACTGCACGTTGAAAAAAGGCCCATGGTCCACACACATTCACAGTGCGGACTGCGTCAGTGATGAACAAAGACACAGCGACAGGACACTTGCTGGACTGGGGGGTTTGGGGATACCCGTTCATTTCGTACAGGATGGCTCGGGAAGAAACAGGGGTCTTTGGCAGGGGTTCAATGCGCCCCACTCAACCAAAAGAGCCAAAGAGTAGACAATGATCTTGGAACAAGCATCAACGGTGTGGTACGTGTGGCTTGCAGGAAATGATGTGGCCTTGTTGGTGGACTCAAAGAATATCACGTGGGCGAGTTTTACTGTTAAGATTAGGTTGGTTTTCATACTATCATGCATTGATAACTATAGTTACGGTGTTCAACAGCATTGGGTTTTAAAGCTGCTGTGTGTTAATCAGTATGCTCTTTGCCCCCGTGCACGACCAACATGCCAGTGAAATTAAGACTAGAAACATGAAATAAGGTTGCCATAGTTGACATTAAAGGGGTGCAAAGTAAGCCTTTCAATTACCCTCCGCCTTGCACAATGGCCCATCAGGTCGTTCAACAAAGGCATCAGACCCAACACATGTTGGACAGTAAAACGCATTGGATGGATCATACTTGCGCTTCGTCTTCAAATGAACGTCATAGACCTCTCCATAAAACGACGTCTTGAAGTCAGGATCATGGCGGTCCCCTTCATTCATGTAAGCACCAGTGTCAGGCGCAAGCTTCTTCAGCGCCGCACCCTTGACAAAAGTTGTGTCGTAGTTGGCTTTGTTTCGCTCTGCGAAACTAGCAGTCTTTGGAACGCCAGTCCCAGAGATAAGTGCCAAGTGCGACTTGCGCCAAGCTAGGTTCAGGCCAGATGTCTTGTCCTCGGCGTCCTTGAAAACTTGCCCGCCAGAGACAAGCAGGATAACATTTGAGTGAAACTCGTCAGGCTTGCCGCTGATAATCTCTACAGCATCCCGTACACTACTATAGTCCTTCAAAGACTCTCGGTTGATTAGTCTCGAGGTCAAGATCGCAGTGTCTCCTACGGGATCATGGAGTCCTGACTCGGCGCCATAGAAGGACCAGTAATCGGTATAGCTCGCCCAACTCTCGTTGACGAAAAGCTTATCCTCAAACTTGGATAGAGCTTTTCGCACAGGAGCCCAGGCCTTCTCAGCTTCATCTTTGCCAATGCCGATCGTCCAAAAGCCGTGAGAATAACCCGACGTCGCATTCCCGACAAAGACGGTAGGGAAATTGCGAAACCAGAAACCGTACCCCGAAAAGCCAGCGTCGTTGAGATCGGGAAGCATCTGCAGCAATACTGAAATAGCGTCCAGAAGGTCTGAATTCTTCTCCGTTTTCTCTAGGGGAGCAAGCTGCAGATGATGAGCAGTAACAACATCAACATTGGGATGTGCTTTTATGGTGCTGCTAAGAGTGATTCCGTACCCAGGCCCGCCTCCACGAAGCGCTCGGAAAAGGTCGGTATTTTCGCAGTGGTTGCAGGTAACGACTCGTCCATCAGCGAGCATGACCTCAGCCTCAAGGATCTGGTCAGCGCCGAGACCATAATTCCTTGTTGCCGGCCCGTGGCCACCTCCAGATGCCCACCCGCCGATGGCACCAGGTGAAACGGAGCCTCCTCCGACAGCAATGACATTGCTCTCTTTAGCGGCCTTGTTGACATCTCGCCATTGGTAGACACCATCGATCTTGATGGCGCTTCCCTTCCAGCCAGACCTAGTACACTTATTTTCCGAACGATACGTCTTTTGGAACTTGATGCCGTTCTTGAAGTCATGCAGCCAAAGTTCAAGACCACCATACCCGTCAGACCGACCGAGGAGATCATGCCCTGTGCCAGAAATCACAAGGCGGATGTTGCGTCGCCGAGCATACAGGAGCGTAGACTGGATCTGCGCACGAGATGTAGCGTGGACGGCGTAAACGGGAAGCGAGCCGAGAGTGCATGTGGTGGGCTTTTGTCCAGCGGCGTAGTCGACTGGGGCACAGGTGATGTTGTAAGGATAAGGCCTACCAATGGGATGGGAGGTCTGAAAATCCTGGTCTGTCCACATCTTGTTCACATAGGCGCACTTTTCGAGGTCCTGGGTGTCGCCTGGATAACATGATTGAGCTACTGGCTCCGTCTTGATGAAAACCCCGCCGACAAGGTGATTAAACGATTTCCACTCGACATTCGAAGGCCAGCAACTTTGACCAGGGACCTGTGTAGACCATTCAGTAAGGCTTCTGTCATCTCCTGCTGTTGCACTCACACATTTGCATCGTGGTGATTGGTATTGGCCTCGAACGAGAGTTGAAACAGAGGCCAATATGGCTAGCAAGGAATTACAGCGCATTTTCACAAAAGAGCTTGCGGCTTTGCCCATGAGAAGGTGGGAGATGCCCGGGGGAAAGGTATTTAAGCAATACGGATGCGGAGGCGTGTTTCAACCCATGCAAGGATCGACGACTCGTTGTCCAGCGTGAGAATTGAGAGCGCGCCATGGATCTCGATTCGGTGGAAGGCTGCTTATCCTAATGCAGGGCGAAAACTCAATGCAAGTTTTCATGTCCGTCGGAGAGCATGTGCAACTACCCTGTACGACCTCGGTTTTTGCTGAGATGTCTAGAGGTCGCTCAAGTACGCTAGAGAAAGCAAGAAATGTAGAGGCGAGGACGGGCCAAATCGAACTCTGAGGGTGATGGTGGGAATGAAATATTGTTAGACAGTGACATATTTTGCTCTTATTCCAACCTCAAATTCGTGGACCACCGTAGAAACTCGAAAAATCAAGACTCTTGGCAATCCCCAGTTTTACTCCGCTAAAATCAGACTAACTCATCCAGATAAACCAGTAACAGAGAGGAGGTCTCCCCGCTTTGCCAAGAGTCTCGATTTTTCGAGTTTCCACGGTTAACTCTCCTGCCCTCTTCCCACCTCTCTTCGATGCAACTCTCTCCTGTAAAAATTTTTCCTTGGCGGCTGCTGTTAGCGCCGCACGGGCACAAGGGCATTTTTCAGGCCATATTTGCAGCTTTTAGTGGCTCTAGGGATATATATCCTTAACAGCTACCTCGAGAAAGGATTAAGAGAGTTGACTTTCTCGATAAAGTATACACATAAATACCTGCGAGGCCGCGTTGCCGCGAGACTCGCACACATAAAATAACCCGCCGAAAAGGGCCCCTTTTGGGGCCCTGCGGCATATAACCAACGCTGGCCTCTTCAGGCCACATAACCAGCCGATTAGGCCCTTAAGGCACGAAAGGCACTAAAACCGACTAGAAGATAGCCCTATGAATAGCTGCATCGCGGCCCATAGCTGCTTGCGGCAGAAGTTGCAACGCGGCTATAGCCTTGGCTAAGGCTGCAATGCGGCTATCGTAGGCCATGCTGCGCACCGAATCAAATGGCCCTAGATGTTTGATATCACCAGGGTTATAATATTTGAATTTCCTTTCTTATGAATCTTACCTAGCTCTTCTTATAGGGGAAGTTTCCCTTCTAAAAGGGGTAGTTATCTCTTTAGTTAGTCTAGATAGGCGCCCTTTGTCCTCCTATATGATTTGACCGGCGTTAAACACCAATATATACATACATACCTCTCTTCGATGGGCACTAGTTTAGTCCACGAATCCCTTAGCTGAGGTTATAATGTATCACAAGTGGTCCATATTACAATAAACTTTCCAAGCTACGCCAACACTACTATGCTCCATTCCGTGATGCATAGGACTCGACCAGGCAAAGCCCATCAGTCCAGGAATGACATGTTCCCCTGTCAGCCTGCATGGGCGCTCTGGTTTGATTCGTCGGCAATGCACGCGCTGCCCCTCATCAATTTCCCTGTAGTCATCGTGAGCAGGATCTTTCCATAACCTCACTCTGTCATCCCATTTTCACTAACGTTAACCTCAGCAGCCTCATCTGGAAAAGAAGCACGATAACCATGGCCGAGGCCATTGGAGTTGCCGGCTCCATCGTCGGTATCGTTGCTTTCGGGCTGCAACTTGGCGTTACATTGCAGACACATATCGAGGCCGCCGTAGAAGCTAGTGATCGGCTTCAAGAGATCGCGTTCGAGATCAATTCCACGGCGGGTGTGTTGAGTCAACTCCAAGAGATTATGAAGAAAGACTGCGATACGGCTGTCCCTATTTTCAACATCGATGGCGTGCAGGATATCAAGCGGCTTTCTGAGAGATGCAAGAGGATATACGGCGTCATTATCATCTTGTTGAACGAAGCTGCTGAAGGTTCTGAGAAAAGAAAAGTAAAGGCACAAGTATCAGCAGATGGCCTCGACGACTTGTCATTGAAGCTTAACAAGTTGGGATTCCGGCGGAAGCTAGCATGGCCATGGCTGGAACCACGGATCAAACGTTGCCAACAGGAGCTGAGGCAGGTGAAATTGGGAAATTGGACCTTTTCCTCCATATTCAAGTGGTCAACCTCGCACAGTTTCAAATACAGTTCGTACAACCTCTTCTTACAATTCGGGTAACAATGCAGCCGCATGATGGAAAACATGCTAATATCTATGTCCCTCAAAGCCACACAACACGGGCTCCTGGATCGCTAGAAGAGGAACAAGCACTGAGAGGGCTAGCCCAGGAACTGATGAGAAAACGAGCAAACCATGCGAAGAAGCTCATGCAACGCCGCCATACTGAAAAGGTCGACAAGGCTATGGCAGCAGCGCCCACTTCCAAGCCCGAAACAGTGGCCCCGCCACCAGAGGAAACCATTAGGTGAAGGATCTTCTTTGAACTAATGTGCCCGACTAACGTCATCATTGTTCTCATAGTGCCATCAAAAAGCCAGATGCACCGCCTCTCCTAGCGATAATGACACATCATGCAGAGTACGTGAACATCATCAAGCAACAGACTGTGAACTAACCGAATTATTGTCTTACCCCTGACAGATCAGGAAAACAAACAGAGAATAGCCTTGATAAGGTTATAGTTGACTCAACGCCACAACCACGTGGCATGGAAGTGACGATGGAAAACAACAGGCCTCAACCTGAAGATGGGAATCTGGTCGAAGACCCCGTGCGCAGGCTTGCCCACAGATTTCAAAGCCGTGAAGCGCCATCCATCCCTGCGTCTCCTCCCCTCTTTTACAGCCAGCCATACGCAGGAGGCGGCGTTGCCACCGAAGAAGAGGCCAGCGTGGATTATTCCCCTTCAACCAGCAACCCAGACAACGGTGGCTCTGGTGATGACGAAGAGGGATCTATCAGCGGCAGCACCGCCGCCCCTACTGATACCACATCTCCAAATCGAATACTTCGTTTCATTCCGAATTGGGCTCATGGAATATTCTCACGTGGCAGGCATGACGACCGGAAGAGTGACAAGCTGGAGGCTTTTCTCCTTGAACTACCGGCCAGAAGCGATCTCTTGTCTAAGCCATCACTGATGAAACTTGACATGGAACAAAAAGACATCGAAGCTGCCCTTTCTGCAATCATGCCCCGCCGCTGGCGGAGAGGACGGCTACAAATGTGGGAGCAGTACAAGCATCTCGACCCACGCGTCCGTCACGAAGTTCACCTTGCTATGACATTAGCAAAGCAGTGGGACACGCAAAGCAGAACCTGGATAGCTATCGAGATCATGCAATCATCAGAGCTGGACCAGCAGGAGAGCCTTCACATCGTTCTATTCTTTCGGCTGGGTGAGGAGGTGGAGCCTGTTGCCTTGAACACTACCAGCGGCAACTTTACGCTGCCATATGAACATTGCCGTAGTTGGGAGGTGAGTCGAGTCAATTGCTGGCGGTTCTATTTGTGTATGGTCTGCTCATGTGGGCTATGAAATTATTATGGCTCTTCTAGCTGGAAGCGTATCCAACGCTTCTTGCAAATGCAAGAGGGATTTAGACTGACCTTAAACTCTCGACAGATGATGGAAAACCTTCTTGTCACAGCCTTCACCGGTACACAGTTGGAAGTCGCGGTACGAAATCGCAAATATGATATTGTCAACAAGTATACAGGCGCAATCATCCCACCAGAGACATGGAGGTCAGCGATCCTTCCTGGGATGCACATCAAAATGAATATGCGGTTTTCATCCAGGCAAGCGTTCGACGCGACGCTACCCGGGCATCCACCATCGATGCCACCTCCAGTGCCTGCAGATGGACGGATCCGGGTAGGCGGGAGTATGCCAGTCCACATACCACCACTAGGGCCAATGCCAGCCCCGAGGATGCCACGCATGTCAGTATACGGAGAGAAGAGGGTGGCACCCCGAAGGGAAGAGCTGAGTATACTCCCGTCAAGGCGCCAACGAACGACGTCATACAGAAGAGCCATGGTAGACATTGAGCCAATGCCCCTGCACCAAGTCAGCATCAATGCACCGTCTTCAGCTACCACAGACAGCGAGTCTACAACTAGCATCGATAATCGTGAACTAGATGAAGAGATGGAGGGACTTCTCGGCCCAAAGGAGGTCATGATAGATGAGATTGACACATCTAAGCTTGACTTGAGGGAGCTCCTCATGAGATGGACCAACATTCCGGACTCGGCTGGAAACCGTGTGCCCTTACCAGAGTCAGACAAGCGAGGCGCATCAGAGATGAGGATAGATTAGACAAGGGGAGTTCTGTATAGCGTCAGAGTTGAGTTGTCTCCGCATTATCAGGCGCAAGAGCGCAAGGTAATAGGTTAGTTAGTTCGCGTTTCACTGTCAAGTACTTTTGACATGAGAACAAATTCAGAAGCAATATGCATTCTCGAGGAAAAAATATGGTTGGTAGCGACGTCTGTGAAACTGGCCGCCAAAAACAAGAGTGGAAGACATGGCTATCAATATCATCAAAGCCAGATTACCTAAAACACTGTAACCTAAGACAACCAGCTCAGGTTTGTGCCAGGAGTGAAAACTCCGGCGCAGTATCAAACAGAGGTATTATTAAGGCCAACAGCTGACCATTGATTGTGAAGAGATTTAAACTTTGTTAGTCTCGGCAACTTGCCGGGTCTAATGAACGACCCGTGAATCCGTCCGGACTTACCCCCTGCCCTCCCCTTGCTCCTTATCGCGATAGTCTGCCCTACCTTGAAGAGCCGCAATGGCGTGCCTTGGCCGTCACGCCACAAGGCGAAATATTGAACTGTGATCGCCATTGCCGCAATGCTTTAGCTAAACTAAAGGGTTTTAGCTACGGACCAAGCCGCATCAGATGTCCCGTTAGTTAACTCCAACTAGACCTTGTACAGGGTCAAGTCCGACTGCATGCTTCGCAATGGTATCCCGACATGCGATTAGTATGGTCTAGCCCTTGATAGGCACGGGTGTTGCGGCTCAACTGAGAGTGGGCTTTTGAAACGTGTTGGGTGCGGAACCTATCTGCGGAGCCGCATCCGGTCGTTTTGCACGCTTAGACCGGCTACGATTTGCAGGCAGCTCGCCTGCGCTAAGCTCGGTAAACAATAAATGATATGACACCTCACAAGTTAAGGGGTTTATTGATTCGAGACCAACTAGCTTAAATAGACACTACAGGAGTATTGGGTCAGTTCCGGCCCTCGACGATCTTGACGATCAACTCTGCAGTTTCCTGTCTCTTTTCAAGGAACGGGCTATGACTGGTTGCCATCCTCGCCTCCTTCATACCCGGCGTCGACTGAACAAGCTGTTCCTGGAGAGGGAGCGGTATCACCTGATCCTTCTCACAGATTATGTAGGTCTTTGGAATGGTGATGTCGGAACCGATAAAGTCTAGGCCAGTCTCAAATGCATCTTGAGAATGTGGCTGTGTGGCGTCAAAAGCTTCTTGGGCTGCTTCTTTAGGACAGCCATTGTATAGGCTATTCCATGCTCCTTCGGGCGACATAGTCGTGATTTTATTCTACGTCTCGTTAGACATTCATTTATGTGATGGTCTCAATTTCTCTTTGCGTACCTTGGTATATTTCTCGCCAGTTTGAAGCCACTCAGGGTATGCGCCACCGAAAGTCGTGATGAGATCCCACCCCTTAACTGGAATTGCAAATGCAGCCATAAAAATGATTGAGTGAAATCCACCCTTGAGACCCTTCTCTGCTCGCTCGCTGATCCCCTGTCCTTCTGTGACGGCAGTAGCGGGAATGCCTCCGTATGAATGCGCAATAAGAACGACCTCTCGTCCTTCGGCAAAGTAAGGCTCCGATGTTTCAATGATCTTAGCCTTATCCGCCTCCCAAGTGACTCCATGGCTATCAGCTCCTATCGTGGGCATCTTGGGAATGACACACTCATAGCCGAGATCAATAAGCGTCGTCCTGAGGCTATCATAGCACTTGGGAGGATGCCACGCGCCGGTGACGAAAAGCAAGACGGGTTTGTCGCTCATAGTCGTTGCCTTGTAGTTGACGGTTTCACGAGTGCTGAATTCTGCCAATCTTGACAAAGTGGTGTGGCTGGATGCAACACAACATGGTTGTGATGTTGCCTCGTTCTTATACATAATCAAGGGGCCCGGGCCACAAATGTCGCTTGTTATCTGTGGAAACCGCTTCTCGGAAAACATCCGGAGTTTCGAGAACTTGGGACTAGGGGATCCTGGTGGGGTGACTAAAGGAGCATTATCGAAATCATTCGAGTTAGACTTTGCAAGACGCGTTTCATCGAATATGGAGCAATGGATATGGCACCACGCATACGAACTATAACCCCTGTTGAGAGCCCCATTTCGCCTCTTCTTGTGAATCTTTTCCTCAAGGGGCGTTGCGTTGCATTGCAGAATGAACCAGCGAGTCAAGCATCGGCTGGCCCTGAGAACTGCCAGCCTTACGCCGAAGCCCATGAAAACTCTAGTTATGCCGCCGCGTAGAGTATTTCACGTCGCCAAGTGCCCACCTATGTTCTCTCCTGGCCCGCGATTACTTGCCGAGATGTCTGGTTGAACCCTGATTTCCCTATCCAGCCACAATGTCAGCCACACAGTCGTCTACGCTTCCGCCCGAGGTTCTCAAGCACAATGAAGGCCCGTCGCTCGTTATCGTCAGCGCTGTGTCCATTCCCTTTGCGCTTGTCATTGTAGCTACGAGGGTGTGGGCACGTCATCGGAAGAACATGGCCCTCGAGATTGACGATTGGCTCATATTGATATCATTGGTATGCATGAGCTTATCACACGCGTGCTTCGATCCGATCGTTAATTGTGCCACCAGCCGCTATTATGGGCCAACGCTGCTATCGCCATCGCAGGTGAGTCCTTGTCTACTCTGGAGAATTGAAGGTATGATTGATAACACGGAATCAGTCGTCTACGTTGGTGGAGCTGGAAAACCACTGGCAGTCAACATGATGCAAGACCAAAACCGGCTTGGGAGAGCTCAGCTGGTGAGCCAAACACTCCCTTCCATGTCTTTATTCACTCTCTAACGACTCTATTATGGGGATAGTGCCTAGTATTAACCGAGTTCGTTTACGGAACAGTACTTTGCACCATCAAAGCCAGTATCCTGCTCATGTACTATCGCATATTCCCAACGCGATCGATGAAGATTGGCGGCTATGTCCTCGGTGGACTAACCCTAGCTTGGTGGATAGCCATTGTGTTCACTACCATCTTCCAATGCACTCCGATCGACAAGGCCTGGAAACCCTTCATGGAAGGGGGGAAGTGCATCGATAAGAACAAGTTCTTCATTGGGAACTCTATCCCTAACATTGTGGTGGATGCCCTGATAATCTCGTTGCCAATTTGGGCGGTATCAAAAGTCCAAGTACCGCGGTCACAAAGGGTAGCTATTGCTGGTATCTTTCTGCTCGGTGGATTGTGAGTTATCTCAAAGACCCTCGGAGGACACAGCATGATGCTAACCAGGCGTAGGATCGTAGTAATCAGCTGCATCCGACTGAAATACATCGTGGATCTTCTTCAAGCAGGACCCACGGCAGACTTTACCAGTGAGTCACTTGATTCATTGCCCATGTTGACACAAGAGCCGGCTGACAGATCAAACAGAACTGATTTCAACACCATGGATCTGGACAGTCATCGAGCCAACCATTGGACTCCTCTGCGCGTGTTTGCCCACGATGCAACCGCTGCTTTACCTAATCTTCGGGCGCTTTATCACCAGAGCGACCCAAGACCGCAGCAAGGAGGGGATTATCACTATCGGCGGTAGTGGGTCTAAGCAGACGGAAAGGGAGAGGGTGCCAGCCAAGGACGGTCCATTTAGGCGACTTCACGACAATGACTCTGCCGAGGAGCCTGTTTTGTGGCCAGAGACGTACATCAATGAGCAGAACACGGTGGTGGAGCATATGAAGGGCGACAGGGGGGATTCTATCCCGCTGGGTACAATTGCAGTCAAGAAGGACATGACGTGGGCAGAGTCACGATAAGTTGATGGAACTCCATAGGCAATAAACCCTGCCGTGTTGTTTACTCTGGTTGAAGCACGGCCTTTGATGGGATAACTGGGCTAAAGGATAGAAGACTCAAGTGATATCGTTTAGATTCCCTTCCAATTGAAACCAGCATCCACAGTGAATGGGTCTTCAAGACACATGTCCTGCGCATTCTTTCCAATCTTGACGTACCACTGACCGGGCTCGGCCCTCCACAAAGAACTCAGCTCATCCCAGTGCGAGACCGCGTCTGACTCCTTCGTTAGTAATGTCAAAAGGGGTCGGTGGCTAGACTTACATTTGTCCATCTCTACGGTTACCGTCTCGGACTTCCCTGGCAATAGCACGCCGGTCTTGGTGAAAGCCTGGAGGGTTACCTCGGGGTGGGTAAGAGAGTTGGATGTTGGAGGTGGGGGACTTGTATAGAAGTGAACTGAGTGAGCACCTGCGACATCGCCAGTATTAGTTACTTTGACTGAGACTTTGATTCGCCAGGAGCTCGGAGAAGTCGACTTGGAGGGCGTAATAGCCATTTGAGAATACTCAAAGTCTGTGTACGACAGTCCATGACCAAAAGGATACATGGGCTCGATGCCACGGGCGTTGAAGTGACGGTAGCCAACCCAGATACCTTCCTCATAGTATGTTCTTGTACGAGCTGACCTGAAGTTGAGGTTTGCAGCAATATCGAGCTCTCGCTTAGGAAGGGTAATTGGAAGCCTGCCGGAAGGGTTTACCTTGCCGTAGACAATGTCGGCAATGGCATTTCCAGCTTCATTTCCACCGTACCAGGGCCACAAGACTGAGTCAATGTCCCCAAGCCAAGGCATCGACACCGCAGAGCCTGTCTGCAATACCACTGCCGTCTTGGTTCTTGAGGCCTCGGTAGCTACGCGGCGTACGAGGTCGTTGAGGCGAAGAGGAAGAGATAGGTTGGGTCGGTCGTAGCTTTCAGATTCCCAATCCTGGTCTAGTCCGACAACGAGGACAGCAAAGTCTGACGATTTTGCTAGCTCGACAGCCTCATCGATGGTTTGGTCCTCGTCGATGGCAGGAAATGACCCAAGCTTCATTCCGATAAGCTGCAAAGGTTGGCTGTCCTGTCCAGGGGCTAGGGGAGGCTTCCTGGAGTCGTGCAACAGGCGGAACGTGTAAACCTACAGTGACACATGTCAGCAACAAGAGTCAACACACAACATCTGGTCTTCTGACTTACCTGGCCTTTGGTCACCGACACGGTAATGATGGTGCCGTTTCCTCCATTTCCAAAGAAGGAAGACGTCCGTTTCTGCTCCTTGGATAGGTCTGCCACGAGCTCACCGTCTAGATAGACCCAAGCTTGGCCAGTGACGCTGACCTCGAATTCCCAGTCACCAGTTATTGGTGCTGTAAACATGGCTCGGATCTCGGTGAAGTAATCATCGCCTAGATCTGGATGCGTAAAGTCGGCAAGCATGATATCCGAGTTCTTCCATACCTCAGAACAAGCAGGCTTGCTCGCCTGTTTGCCATTGACAATGGCGTAGTGCAGCATATCGAAGCCTTGCGTCACACCATCCATACTTGTAAACTCTTCTCCAAAGACAGGCAAGAACTTGGAGCCCTTGCAACCAAGTGCGTAAGAAAGCTCGACGTCGTTGGGTTTATTGCCGATCAGGCCTTGCCATGGCGTAACAGACCAGGCCGGACGAAGTCTTGCACTTCCACCACCAGTAATGACAGCCTTTTTGGCGTTAGGTCCAATGACGGCTACTTTCCCGCTCTGGATGGGCAGAACCGAGGCCTCGTTTTTGAGTAGCACGATACCTTCGCTGCCAATCCGCCGCACTAGGGCCGCGTCAACCTCTTGGTCATCCTTGCGTGTCCATTCAACAAAGTCGTCACTGTCGTAGACCATATCGGGGTTCAGGATGGCCAACTTCTGTACCCAACGTAGCAAAGTAATGACACGCTCGTCAAGGGTCTCGGGTCTTATCTTGTGAGAGTTGATCGACTGTCGAACAAGCTGGGGTTGACGCCACCGAGGCTTTCCAGGCATCTCCAAGTCAAGGCCAGCGTTGATAGCTTCGGCGACCGAGTACGTTCCCATCCAGTCAGACATGACAAGACCATCAAAACCCCACTCGTCTCGGAGGACATCTTTGAGGAGCCACTCATTCTCTGAACAATGGGTCCCATTGAGCTTGTTGTACGAAGTCATGTAAGCCCAGGGGCCAGCTCGAGCTTGTGCAATCTGAAAGGGGCGAAGATAGATCTCCCGAAGCGCCCTGGGAGCGATTATGGAGTCCTGTCCCATTCGCTCATGCTCTTGGTCGTTGGCGACAAAGTGTTTAATGGCCGCACTAATGCCTTCATCTTGAAGACCCTTGATGTACTCTGCAGCAATGATGCCGCTGAGGGTAGGATCTTCACTGAACGACTCAAATGCCCTACCGCCGAGAGGACTGCGGCAGATGTTGACAGTCGGCGCCAACAAACAGACTGCATTTCTAGCCTTGGTCTCAGACGCAAGCAACCGTGCGGCCTCGGTAGGGAGGGTCGGAGAGAAGGTAGCCGCTAGTCCAGTCGCATTAGGGAGCACCACAGCGGGTGCTGAGGCTGTCAGTCTCGTCCGTGATTGCTAAGTGTAGAGTTGCAAGACTCACTCATCTTGAAAAACGATTGCCCTCGTGCACCATTGGGCCTATCAGTAAGCTTTACCCTAGAGATGTAGTGGTCAACAAGGTAGTTGTGCAGGTCAATTGCCGAGGGAATCCTTACGAGGGAATGTTGAGTCTGGGCAAGGCTACCGTTCTGTCATGGTTGTTAGTGATCGAGACAACAGGGAATCGGCCAGTCTTACCTCCACCAGTCTTCACCCGCGATGAAAGCCACCTTTTCTGTCACTGACAAATGACTAACGAGTTCTTCCACAGACACTGTCAAGAAAGATCGATCCATTCCAATATTCGCCATGATGGTAGTTGCGAACTGTAGCGAACCTTGTCCAAGGTACGCCTTGCCGATATCTCACCACGTTGAACTATATTGCTTTTACGTCGAATTGATCTGGGAGGCTTTATGTCTTCCGAAATCCGCCTCTTCACATCTAATTTCCCGAAGTCTATCAGTTCCTACAACCTCATGCTCTCGACCTCAAGTTTCCGCGACTTCCCCGACTTCCGGGGAGCGCTCCGTGTCTACTCAGCCGATGTGGGCCAGGGGACGTCCAAGTCACCGCTTTGCTCGGATGTTCCCCGACTCTGAGTCACCTGGCCTGCTATGGAATGAGCTGATCTAGCCTCTAGCGGCTCCTCTAGTTCCTTGTTAGCGAACTTTTTACTTTTCAACCTTTTTACATGTCCAACGGCCCACCCCCAGAAATGCCCCCAGCATCTCCACGATTCTTCCCCAGACACTTTATTTCACATCTCTTGAGAACTACTTGCCAATAATTCACTAGATCTCCCTAACATAACGAATTTCATGTAAAATCCTTCCTTATTTGAAGAGCCATGGCGCGTCAGCCTTCCTCGTTTGTGGACATACCCAGTAAGGGGTTCAAGCTTGAGAATTCGCACTTCCAGACTGATACAAGGGGTCAGACAACACAAATAAGCTTTGGTATAAAGACACTTGCCTCAAAAGAAACATCGCCGAATGGTACGTTTATTCACCTAGCAAAGTTATCAACTTTCTCCGGCGTAGTCCGCTAAGATAAGGCTTCAGCCTGGGACTCTGTCTCGTCGTTTTTTACTTGGTGAGTGATTAAAACCCTTTGGCTTCAGAACCCAACAGACTGAGATGCGTTTACCAGGGGTGTAAGTGAACCGGAACAAGACCTGGTTATCTAGACTCAAATATTGCTAGACGATGCCAGCCTCCTCAATGGGCTCCAGGCCATTGCTTCCTGGGGTGAAATTGTCAACCATCCGAAAGGACCCATCCTCGGCCTCTACACCGCGACCTTGTACCTGCCATCCATGATAACCGCCTACCTAGGAGATTTCTTGTCTCGGCCCTATGGACGACGAATTGCCCTGGGTCTGGGATCTCTCATTGTCTTGGCCGGGAGTCTTGTCAACGCCCTTGCGGTGAATCCCGGCATGTGGGTGGCCGGTAAGTCTTTGACTATGTTTACCGGTATATATCCTGTTCCAACATTCGTCTAGGTCGAGGTATCATCGGCGCTGGTGGTGGTATCGCCAAAGTGGCGGCTCCGGCTCTGATCCAAGAGATCGCACATCCTAGATTACGACCGATGATTTCTTGCTGCTACTATCCGTTCTTTTACTTTGGTAGTCTGTTATCGGCACTTTTGTGCTGTAAGTTTGCCACCTTTCATCAGTGCTGGTCTTCCAAAATAACTGTTCTAAACAAACTTCGTAGTTGGCGGTCTCTACATCCCAGGAAGCTGGTCGTGGAGAATGCCATCTATCGTCCAGATTTTGGGCCCATCAATGGTACTCATCACACTTTTGAGTTGTCCCGAATCTCCCAGGGTTGGTAGTGGTCGTTGTCACGTTCTACATCACTTGGCTAACGCCCAGGTCTCAGTGGCTTGTCTATCGGAACAGAATAGCCGACGCTTCTGCTGTTCTGAGCAAACACCACGCAAATGGGGTCGACAACGACCCTCTCGTTCAGTGGGAACTCGCCGAGATTCAGGCTTCTATAGAAGAGGACCGCGTTGACCATCAAGTGTCGTACCTGGACTTCTTCAAGACACCAGGTAATCGAAAACGTCTTGCGGTCTTGTTGTCTTTGTGCGTGGGTACGAACTGGGTTAGAAATAGTATCGTCTCCTAGTGGGTGTACCCGTGTGTTCGGTTTTATTATATGTCAAAGTCAGGTCTCTTCCTGCAATCATATTTAACTTTTCTAACCCGTAATTAACCCTATTAATAATAGATTAAGCTTTTTCTAATAACCTTATATTTACTACTAATACCACGAATAATTAGATATCCGCTACCTATCCCGGTCTAAATCCTCTATTAATAGATCTTTTTAAGCCTATAGCTCTTTTACTAATTTTAATAGTTCTTTTAGCTAGCCCTTTAATTATTTAAGCTAATCTAAGAAATAAACTTTTTTTTCTTTAAGGGTATTACTTATAGCTAGTCTCTTAGCTAGGTTCTTAAGTGCTATTTATTATATATTAATATATTTAACTTAGCCTTTTTAAAGATATATATACTTAATAAGATAATTATAAAACTAAATAAAGGCGATTTAAAGTATATATATAAGATCGCGAATTTAAATAGGTTTAGAGATAAGAAGCTTAATAAGCCTAAGTTTCTTTTAAAATTATTATTTATTTTTATAACTTAATATTATAACTTAGGCACTTATATTATTATATTATTAATTAAGTCTCGGGTTAATTATTAAGATTAAGAGTTTTTATATTAAAATAATAGATATTTTAAGGAAAAAGGATAATAAAGAAAATAGAAATATTAATAATAAGCTAGAAGAAAAAGCTAAGTAATATAACTTCTTATAAGAAAAGGAAAAATAATATCTTATATTATAAGGCTTATCTTCTAGCTATTAGGTTTCTATAGCTATAGAGCCTTATCTTAGGTTTTTAGTATTTTATAGTATTAGGTTTAATATTACTATATATCTTTAATTATATCCTTTGCTTCTATGGCCGATAGTGATTATCGATGTTATTAAAAAAAATAGAACTAGTGGGTGCATATACTCTAAACCTTGACGTTTTCTACTAACCATGCATGCCATAGCTATCTCACACCGGTGCTCAAGACAATTGGCATCACATCTCCGGTGCAGATCACGCTTCTAACCTCTGGTCTCGGTAAGTCCACGAGTCTCACAGGCCCAGTGTGGATATTAACACGGGTGATTATAGCCATCTGGAACCTGTTCCTAGCGTTTGGAGCAGCAGTCAACGTTGAGCGCTTTGGTCGGCGTCCACTGTTCCTTGTGTCCATTTTTGGCATGCTCCTGTGTTACTGCTTCATCATGGGCTTTTCGGCTGGTTTCGCTTCGACTAAAAAGTCTGGTCTCGGAATTTCTGTCATTCCACTACTGTTTCTGTAAGTGTTGGCAAAATGGTCTCAGATACGGTCATGAAAACTAACGTGGTTGTTCAAGGTATTACGGATTCTATGATATCGCCTGGACGCCTCTTCCAGTTCCATATACGACAGAAATCCTACCTTTTAAGCTACGTACAAAAGGACTCGCCATATTTACATCCTTCGGAACCATGGCAAATGCCTTCAATCAGTTTGTAAATCCAATTGCCCTGGATGCCATTGCCTGGAAGTAGTAAGTAGTACCCCGTCCAACTCGCACGATCGAGTGGCTGACCGCTTTGCCAGTTATGCTGTTTATATCACCATTCTCCTGTTCTACCTCGCTTTCGCGTGGTTCATGTACCCAGAGACCAAGAACCATACGATCGAAGAAGTCTCAATTATTTTCGACGTGCAGGAAGGAGATCTTGAAAGCCTGAGCAACTTTGCAAAGCAAAAGACAAACCGGAGTGCTGCTCAGACATTTGAACATCGCGAGTAAAGGCTTTTGTCAGTGTGCTTTGGCGAAATTCCGTGACGTGGCCTGTAGAGGGCGAATGGGCCTTTATGTATTGTACACGTAGAAGATTGAAATAAGATTGAATTATACGGAGACATGATTCATTACACTTTTCATCCATACGAAGGCGGGAGAAAAGACCGCGTGAAGTCAAAATAGCCACTGAGGTCGAATCCAGTCCCCCCAGTTGTCATGTCCTGACCCAAGAAAGCACTGACATCAAAATCCCATTCCGGTTCAAGGAAAGTCGAATCTGATATCATCGAGCCGCTGCATGCGCAATGTCCAGTCAGTCTACAATGCACATTTCACGCTCAAGGGCGAGAACTACTTACTTTGTATCTGCCAAATTGCCAGCAAGTTCCAGACAAAGGCCTGTAAAACGCATCAAACTTCGACAGAGCCGTGCTACCCAGCCACAGACTTCGGTTGTGGACAGATCGTTCAACTCTAGGAGATCGATGGCCTGCTTGAGATAGTGCCGCAAGACAGTCTGATCTACTGTCAACGGTTGTTTAACCCGGGACGTGAGGATCCGAACGAAAAAGACGGCTGCTTGTGCAAGTATTAGAACAAGGTACTTTAGATCATGTTAGCAACTGCAATGGCATTAGTCGATTGATGACGCCCACATCAGCGCCATATGCAACAAAGAACTCAGTATTGTCTGATGCAGCGTAAGTATTAACAATAGAAATGGCTGCTTCACATGCTCTTGTCAAATGTGGTTGTAAAAGTTGATCAGCCTGGTTGTCGTGATCGCCTTTGGCAGTTAAAAGATTCAGTGACAGGGCGTTTAAGCATAGTCGTACGTGTTCGCCGTACACTTTGGCAAATTTGCTATAATTTCCAAGCGTCATGGTATCGTAAGAACCTGCATAGTGAGTAAGTGCCCAGGATTGCATGCTGACGAGTGAAGAGACTTACCAGCCCATGTCCACTGGCGCTGCCACTCATCCAATCGAGGATTGAGATTGAGCAACAGGGCTGACACGTGGGCGTGCCCTGAAGTTGTAGGTTGCGAGTTGTCTTGCTGGCTACTTGAACTGGCGCGAGTGGCCCGAAGACCTGAGACTAGATCGGTGGTAATCTAGAGTTAAGGAGGTTCAGGATATGATCGACCAAAGGCGGAAGAATAGGGTAAATCGGATCTTACTATAGATAGTTCCATGAGACTGGTAGCGTAGGTTGCAGCCTCTAAATCAGCTCGACCTAAAGCGCCGAGCTTGCGCGCAACAGCAAGATATCGTCGACAGTCGGTATGACTTGAAGTCATTACGTGGGGGCGGCCGAAGCCGAGGCTGAGACATATGTCGTACCTAAAAGCAATGAGTTAGGAATCCTCGGGGGAAAGGGGTTGATGGACTATTACTGATGAAGCATCAGCCAGGTGTGCCATTGGGGCAGTATCTCGTCGACTAGCTGTGTATCCTTCACGTCGGGGTTGGGCGAATTGATGAATCGCTGTACTTCTGGACGACTCCATAAGTCGGTCATCCCGATCCGATGGGCCAAACGGTTACACAGCCCCGATATCATCCATTGGTCTGCAGACTGCCCTTTTCCACGCGGGATCCAGACAGAGAGCAGCAGAGTGGCTTGCACGTCCGATAGCTGATGCTGTTTACGGAAGAGGACAAACCCAAGATGCGCGCAGGCGAGCTCAGCAAGAGCTTCGAGGGCGTTGACGGTGATAGCTTGGGGTCTTTCTAGGGCGAGTAACCTCTCTCGATAGCTGTTATAGTAGCGGCCTGCAATAGCAAGAATGCTGGTGAAGAGGAATGGTGATGACGACCGAATGTGCTCAAAGTGTCTGCCAAGGTCCTCGTATGACTCAAGCATGGGGAATGATGGATGGCACTTCTGGAAGAACCTACACGAATGTTATCAGATCGGGCAAAATACGTAGCCAAGAGACTTACAAGGTGAAGAGAGCTCGAGCCACCACCTCTTCAACGATACCTTCTGAAACTGGTTCGCTTTGTAAATGCACCTGAGCTTTATAGATGGTCATTCCAACCGTGTTGGGAGACACGCCCCCAGGGTTGGTCTTAACTGGCCTTTCTAACCAAGCAGCTGGATGGCCCATCAAAGCCGGAAAAGGGGCAGAATCATGCTGCAAAGCAGACCAACGAGATTCTAGTCTTTCCGAACTCCTTGGATCGACTGAGCCCTGAGAGGCTTCTGGTGTCATAATCAAACTGCCATTTGGGGCAGCGAGTCCAAGGCCAGAACGAAAAATTGAAGACCTCGAAACTGTCACATTCTCGGCATCGGTCAAAGGTGGTCTGTCAAAGCCATGGACCGCGATTCTGGTTCGCTCGGTGGCGGAGGTACCTCGTTGAGTATCCCCAGGGTTTTCAGGGCGCTCTGAAAGCCGGGTCGAAGGTTGAACAAGAGTTCTTGGTGGAAGGGTATTTGTCTCACGGTTGATAGTAGCTATCAGCTCGGCAACCGTCTTCTCAAGTTGAGAAATGCGTTGATTCGCAATCGAGATGCTATTTTGAGAGTCGCGTTCCCGATCACCAAAGCCACACTCGACCTTGGCTCGCTGACAAGCACTGCAGGGAAGACCACCCATGCAACGGAGCTTCTTCATCCGACACCGCTCACAGGCAATAATGGTACGCTGTGCTCGCTGCCTCTGTGCCTGTCTCTCGTCTGCTCCCGGGCTTGAGTTGCGCCGCTTGCGTCTGACGCCGTCTGCGTCGACCGAGGTTGGAGTGGTCGACATGAGGCAGTAATTGGTGTTGTATGTTTGGGGAAAGATTGTTCTTTGGTGCGGGGGGAAACTTGCCCGTGGGGAGTCAATGGGAATGAATACAGATGGAGGCTGCGGTTGAGTGATGTAATAAATACCGGGAAAGGGTGTCAGTCTAAAGAAACGGGGAAACAAGGATTTTTAGGCCCGTAATTAAACATGCCAGGTGATCACTAGCGTCTTTACCCCAGCACACCACTTGGGTGGAGGGAACATGCTGTCTCTGGACTTGGCAAACATCATTTGACACAAAGTGATGCTGAATGATCGGCATGATCTCTCTGCACGCTTTATTTGAGGGTCTAGGAACTAATTGGACTCCCCAAAAATTGGATCCCAACAGCAATTATTACACACTCTTTCAGCCAATCAGTGTGAGCAGCCCCGTTGTTGGATCGATGGTATCAAGATTGATGCATCCTTTGACTACCCTAGAAAGCCCCGTAAACCATGAGACATAAACCAGAAGGCTTATTCTTTGTCATCATGTGTGACAATGCTCGTGACTGGCTCTTTCTCATCTCCGGGCTTCTTGGCGTCCCGTTCAACATCGACGGCCTTGCCGAGGGGATGGCCCTTGCGATCGAAATCAAAGACCTTGGAAGCGTCCTCAGCCGAAAGACGCTTGGTTTCGGGAAACATGAAGAAGATGAAGACAAAGTAAAAGATTAGGATGCCGATATACACCGCGTAACTGAGACGTGAGTCAGTACGTTGGGATAAACACAGCAAGGGTTTGAATTGGGCACCTACTAGCGCCACTGAATGCTCTTGAGGGCAATTGGGTTAACAAATTGGTTAAAGGCGTTGCCTAAAGTGGCGGTACTGGTGAAGAGAGCCATGCCCTTAGAGCGGATAGAGAAAGGCAAGATCTCGACCGTGTAGGCAATCGGGAGGGGTGTGTAGGCGGTATCGTAAAAGCCATAGTAGCTGATTCATCATTTAGCACGGAAACGTTGAAGATGAACCGCATAGTAACTTACATAAACAGGAATGGAATAACCGCAATGCCAAGCGCCTTGGTTTTGGTGTTGGCAAAGCCCGCAGATAATCCCATGACGACGGCGTAGGAGCACAGCATACCTGCGGTCGAAAGAAGGAACAGAGGGCGACGACCAACTTTGTCGCAGTTTACGGCCGCAGCAGCAGCAAGGATGAGATTCCATATGGCTTGTGACAGATTAGCAATGGCATCGAGTCGTGTAGTTTGGAAGAAACCTACCGAGACCGACATTGATCAGAGTAATCTGAACCGGGGCTGTAATGCCAACTGATTGGAGAATTGGCGCAAGATAGCTAGATAGCGAGTTAGAAGGGAAATCATGCGAAACGCCTGCCAATCAACATACTAGGCGATGATTCCATTACCCATCCAGTTCAGAGAGCAAGCCATGGCAATAATCGTGACCAAGCGCCTCCTGTTTCCAGGTGTGCGCAAAAAGTCTGCAAGGCTTGCCTGCTGCTGAAGAGCTTCTTTCTGTATAGAAGTGCTGATCTGCTCCACCTCGAACTGCACAAGGGCATCATTTATATCGCCATTGGCATGAAGAGCCGCGAGGATCTGGCGGGCCTGGTCTTCTCGATCGTTCATGATGAGCCACTGATCGATGTGTTAGCAGACAGGGTATCTGGGTACTGTGCTGGATATGAACTTACGCGTGGAGATTCAGGGCACAAAATTGTGACTAGAATGACGGCGACGGGTCCAATTACTTGAAGTAGCGACGGGAATCGCCAACCCCAGTTACCGGGGATGTAAAGGCCAACGACTGTAAAGTGTCAGAGTAGCGACCAATGACACAAGTTGAGAAATTATATACTTACAAGTCATCAAGGCAGCGAAAAACATTCCAAAGTAGGCAAACGTCTGGTAACAAGAGCCTAGGATAGGCCGCAGGCGGGGATGGCTGATCTCCTGGATCAGAACAGGAGCGGCGACCTTGACGATTCCGACTCCTGCTCCCATGATCGCACGGCCTGAAAGAGTACTACATCAGCTACTTAAATCGAAAGGCAATGATCAATGGAAGAGCTTTACCGCCGCACCACATGCCAATGTTGACCGTAAAGGTGTTGACAAGGGCGCCGATGAGAATGATGATGTTCGCAATGATGATGCACCATCGGCGACCGAACTTGGTAGAGATCCAATCACCAATCCATGGCGTCACAATCGACGGGATGAAGAAGGAAGCGACGTAGATGCCCAGCAGGGCCCCAGTAGGGCGTTTGAAGAAACTGATAACGCGAGTTAGGAGGAATAATTGTCAAACTGAGAGCCACAACATACATCTGCCATGAGGGCATTGCTTGGAAACCAGTAAGAATACTGACTTGGTCTTGAATTTGGTTAGCTAAAGCTGTCTTTGGCTGCAAATATTCGTTTACTGACATCCCTATCAAATGCTGTTAGCATACCAACTCTTGTGGACAACAATGTGAAACGCTACTTACATTAGTCGCAATGACCAGGCAAAGTCCAAGACCTAATGCCACGTTATGACGCAGCCCAGCATCCTTATACCATACAGGATTGGTATTGTCTGTTTTGAAGCGTTAAAACCACGGCTCTCTTTGACGGGCTGTTGGACTCACTTGGCAGTTCGTGCCATTTGATGTTAGCGGCCATTTTTACAACGAAGTCGATAGTTGATATTCCTTGACTTGATAATATGCCCGTGTCAGAGGATGATCTTCAAGCTCCCCATGGGGAAGTCCTTCTGGGACTTTTTATTCCAGGTGTCGTTCATTTGCAATGAGGCCCGGAGCCGAAACGAGGCACAGGCATGTTCGGGAACCGCCGAAGCAGCCATCAGTACCCCTGTCACTTGAAACTCCTGATCCTCGGGTCTTCCCCGTATCTAACCAGACGAATTTTGCCTTCCACCTACCGCATAGGCCATTCTAACCGGTGCCTCCCCGACATCCGGGCAACCCCTGTACTCACCACCGCCACGCAGGTTCGATGGGTCACGAGACAAAATTCCTCCTCAGTCAATCTTCCCAGAATGTTTGTTGCCTCCCATGACTCGTCGGCCACCATGCTCTCGCAGCGTCTGATCTTCTCAGAGTGGATTGAACTTCGGGGTAGGACACCTGACTCCGTGTGACTGGGGCTAGAACACATATGATTGACATCTTCCGTAGCCTTTTCTAGTTCTCGGTTACGTAGTTGGTATGTCATTAGGCGACTTCTCCCCCGCTGTTGACCCCGTTCGAGGATGATGAAGCCTGATGGTGGGTTGCTTGATGTCAAGTTTCAGAGAATGATGAGCCTCTCGAATCCCTATGAGACGTGTATACTCCCGATCATTTACATACATGTATCGTCATCAATATTATATCTATCCTCTATTTGGACCAGCTATCCAAGAACCCTCCTTATCATTTCTTTCCTGTGCTCGCCTGGGCTACTAATAGCAAAGTATGGTCTGCTGCTGGTCCTCCTGGCGGGCACTCATATAAGATTGGGTGCCGCGATTCCGCCCGACTCCCAAAATTAACAAACTTTAAAATTCAAGAGTGATTTTCCATTGGTTAGGATAATACTGCCACTACGGTAATCGAGGTAGTCGGGAGATTCGAGGCGCTCGGGGCATTCGGGGCACTCGGGGGAATTGAGACGCTTTAGGGACTACACTAGCTCCTTAGTTTTTGTCTCCTAGTGAGCTACGTGGCTGTTATTCTCAACCGTCCTCCAGTACGCATCCGCTGTCTTCCCCCGCAGAGACTTTCCACACCAATCAAAGATTAGAGGCACTTCGTACAAGGCATGTCAATGAGCCCAATAGCGATATACGTGTCTGGGACACCGGAAGCATTGATCCAAGGAGTGACACTGTATTCAAAGGAAAGCCAATGGCATTCCGAATACGGTCCATTGTGACTAATCCATCGCTCGCTACTCCCCCATAGCACTTCATGATGTATTTGATAACTAGGGTGCTCCCAATTGAGAAGCAGGCCATGATCATAGCTATCCTGAGTTATCGACCCAGTGGATGCTATGGTCGGCACCAACGCCGACGAGAATGCGGCCGCTACGATGAAGGATAATTAGAGCAATGGCAGTCTATAGATGATCCTCGGGCTCAAAGACGCCACCATTACGTCGAGATAGCCATATGGCAAGGCGGTTGGTAAAAGGAGCAGCGAGGATGCAACCAATCATGCAACTAGTGAAACCCGAGACGAGGGAAACTTCAGTCGACTTTGCAGAAAATTTGTAAAGCTCGGTCGAGAGAATGAGGGCAGTAGTCCGGCTCGGGACGGTGTACCATGACAGAATAGCTCCCTCTAGAATGGGTAAGTTGACAATTTCTGGGAACCTCGCAAGGTAGAAAGGCATACAAATGGAATGAACGAGGTGGTTTGATTGGTTAGGATAACGACTGCCCTAAAACTTCAGTCTCTGTACCTACGCAAGGTTTGGGTATCACTGAGGCGTCTGCGAATGAGATCTTGGGCACCTCGTGCTCATTATAAAACATGGACTCGTCCCAGCAGAAACATATGATGAAGAAATTCTCCATTCCCATCATAGCCGCGATGAACTGGATACACAACCAGTTGTGCTCAAGTGCATGAAAAACACCCCCCTCCATCATTCGTAATTATCCCCATTGTTTTATCATAATATTTCACCTTGGCATAAGCTGGGTTATGACGGTCCATTTATGCCATGTTGTGCTACCCTATGCTTGGCTGTGCTCGCTTATGTGCTTCCATCACACGCTGCCCCTGGGGCGCCATGTCTTAAATCTCTTTCCAGGGGTAGCTGTTTTCCCCGCACCAGCCGCCTGGAGTTTCGCAGCTGGCATGAGAATGCACGTCGATCTCCATTTCCCTCTATCTAGATATCGGTAGCTGGCTGGCTGAGACCTGTCAAGGCCTGTGTTGAGAGGAAAAAAGCATGTCAGATTACTCCCAAGTACAATTCAGGGCAGACCCGGGCCTATTGGCCGCGATCTTGCCTACGTTGGGCTAGCTGATCTACAGCAGCACAGCTGAGGCCAAGCGACGGGCTATCGGGTATTTCAGCGCGCCACAAAGCGGACCGAGGCGCCTTTAAAGGTTGTGTGTCTTGGAAAATCAAAGGTGAGTGGTCCACGGTCAGGACGGGCTGAACTGAGACACTGGAGCAATGTAACCGCCCTTGAATCGGCTAGCCAGGCCTGACAGAAATGGGTGGTGATTGGCGAGGGTCCGGCCATTCTCGGTCGACATTGTCTCACTTGTTCTCGTCTGACGTGTCTATGCGCCGAGGCAAACAGTTGACGTCCAAAGGAAGCATCCTATGTCTAATCAGGTTGTTGGGTTGCTCCGAGGCCTCCGCCCCCTGGCCTTGTGTAGCCTTTTGATCAAGTCTAATCAGGTTATCCTATTGTAGAGCACAGCGTCCTTGGCGTCTTTTCTCTTCTCTCCTTCACTGACAGGTGCATAAAACGGGTTACACAGTACTTGCGGGCCGCCATGCAGCTTAGTCGCGTCGCTCTCGGGTGACAGCCTGCAGGCCTGTTATCGGATGTCGGCTGTGCACAGCTCACATCAAAGTCCATTGTCCTCGCTTTTTCTACAGACAGCCCAGAGAGGGACTGTGCTAAGTTAGAGTGACTGTTCCGTCACAGTTGAGACACAAGAGCAACATCCATCTCCTCTGGGCTCGATTACGAGCGATCAACAGCTCGCACGGGATTATTGAAATTCAACATGGAATGCCCCATGCCTATTCACGAACGCTATGGCAAATACCTACTCAATTGATAAATATGCAGTGGATCATGACACCAGCGTCGAGGCGGAATGCACTGATTGAGCATCACGCACGCATTCATTCTACCAATCATGGCTATTGTGCTACCAACGGGACCCGTTAGACTCCATGTCATCACGACTATTTACTCTCGGCGCGCATCCTGGGCTGCTGAATTCAAGACACGGGACGTACGTAGTGCAGATTTCAGCTGAAACATAGCCAAAGACAATCCCTTCCCTGGTGGATTCCTCTTAGCTCATTGGACTATTGGAGGGGCCGGGCCTGCCCGATTCCGAGACACATAAACGAGCTGCTGCATGATGCCACATTCTCAAGCGCGAAATAGGTTGTGGGATGAGAGGGACAGTGATGTCAGTTGTTTTGCATAGTGCCTGAGTCGCAGGAAAGGATCTACATGTTCGATCTCATGGAGAGGCTAGGTACGGAGTCAGTTATCCATTTGACATGTGGACATAGTTATGCCTCGAAATTTATGGTCAGGTCGAAGTATAAAAGCCATTCATCTATTCCTTTCCTCCCGATCATCACTCAAACTCTTACATCTGATCTTCCTCTCTCTTCCATCTCCATAATCATTCATCATGTCCGACCCACGTCAAGAAGAGTTCGATGCTACCCATGCCTATTTCATCGGGCCTAAGGGCTCCAACCTTCCAGATTTCAGGGCAAATATCAACACCATCCTGGATGAGCTACTCGTTGCCAGGCAAAGTTACTATCCTGAAGACCGGGTACTTCACACAGCTCACATAGGCGTTCATCATGTTCACTGACACCAATTGGATAGGCTTTCATCCCCAAGGAAGTCCGCCGCTCGGACAAGTTCCTCAAGGCGAGAACCAACCTTCGCCTTGCCACCGAAAAAGTCGCACAATTGCTAGGCGAGCACTCTGCGCCCTTCTGGTCCCCTCGCTATGAAGCCCACATGTGCACAGACCTGACTATGTCGTCCCTGCTTGGATACTTCATGACCATGCTGTACAACCCCAACAATGTCGCCCTCGAGGCCAGCCCCATGACCACTTTGGTTGAGCTGCGAGTCGGCCAGCAACTCTGCAAGCTGTTTGGGTACAACATTGACGAATTCAAGTCTCCACTGGCGTGGGGACATATCACCTGCGGAGGCACTGTCGCGAACCTGGAATCTATCTGGGTCGGTATGTTTCTCATGACCCTTCCTACACGTATTGTGGAGACTAACAATTGGCCTACGTAGCACGAAACCTCAAGTTCTATCCCTTGAGTCTTCAACTCGCACTGGGGGCGAAGGAAGCGAAGGGAAAGCTGAAATTCATCGCCAAAGACTTCTATGCACCCTCGAGCCACCCCGCTCCCAGGAAGCTGTTCACGGAACTGAGCACATGGGAACTGCTTAACCTCCGACCTGACGTCATCCTTGACCTACCAAAGGTACTAGAGAAGCAGTTTGGAATCACGTCTCAGTTCTTGGAGAGTGCCCTCAATGAGTTTAACATCCAGACAGTTGGTCGCGAGTACCTTGAAAAGAAGTTTGAAATCGAGGAACCGGCCAAGTACTTCGTCAGCAAGACTCGCCACTACTCCTGGCCAAAAGGAGCAGGTATTTCAATCCCAGCACTATTACAATTGGGAGTTTTGATTGAGATAGTTAACATGGTCTGTCTTATAGCAATTGCCGGTCTTGGTTCAAAGAACATGATCGGAGTCGACATCAACAACGGTGCTCAGATCGACATTGCCAAGCTCAGGAGCCACCTTGACACATGCGTCAGGGACGAGATTCCTGTCTACGCTGTTGTGGCCGTAATTGGCTCGACAGAAGAGGGCTCCGTGGACAGTTTGACTGAGATTCTGGAGCTTCGAAAGGAGTTTCAGGAGAAGCACGGTCTTTCGTTCCTCGTCCATGCTGATGCAGCTTGGGGAGGCTACTTTGCCACCATGGTCAATCGAGAAACGCACTGCAGCGCTCCCGATGAGGGCACCACGGTCAAGAAGCCTGAGCCAGAGTGGTATTTGGATCCCAACACCGCCGCAGACCTCAGAGCCATGGAGAACGCAGATTCCGTGACTGTGGATCCGCACAAGGCTGGCTACATCCCTTATCCAGCGGGCAGCTTGTGTTACCGAGATGGCCGAATGAGGCACCTCGTGACGTGGTCTGGCCCCTATCTGTCTCAAGGATCTGCCGAGAACATTGGTGTCTATGGAGTTGAGGGCAGGTAAGTCATTTTCTTACAGAGTTGAGGTTGAATCATCTTTGCTAACTCATTCCTCTCTTCAACAGCAAGCCTGGTGCTGCAGCCATGTCGGCGTGGTTTTCCAACACCACTATCGGCCTGAACCCCCATGGCTATGGCAGGCTGCTTGGTGAAGCGGCCTTTACGAGTGCTCGGGTAGGTTCCTCATTTTTCTCGTACTCAACTAGTGCTAACAGCTCCTAGCTATCCGCTCATTGGGCAACCATGGACAGTGACTACTTCATGTGTGTGCCCTTCAATATGCTGCCTGCCGAGAAGGGAGGTGACAGAAGCTTCTTCTCGGCTCCCGTTACGAACCAAAGGAAAAAGATCAAGGATCTAATCGTCGACAAGAGCGATGAGCAAATCTTCAACTCTCCCGAGGCAATGAAGCTGATCCGCGACCTCGGATCGGACCTCAACATCAACGCCTTTACACTCAATTGGAAGTACGGCGACGACAAGAAGACACTCAACACAGACTTGGAGGAGGCGAACTACTTTATGAAGAGAATTGTCGACAGGCTTTCTATTACTACCGCCGATACCGACCCTACCAAGATCCCCATCTTCTTGACTTCGACATCGTTCTTGCATGAGGACTATGGCGACTGCGCCAAGACATTCATGAAGAGAATGGGACTCCAGGAGTGCAACCAGAGCCTGTTTGTTCTGAGAAATGTCGTCATGAGTCCATTCCCAACCCAGAACAACTTCCTCAAGTCGCTGATGGGGGAGCTGGAGGAGGTGATTGTGGATGAGGCCAAGGCCTGCCGAAAGAGAAACACCCCCCGTGAGAAGCAAATCCAGTTCCTCGTGCAGGGGTCTCCAACTGCCTCTGAGGTGTTCCTGGTGTTCAAAGCATCGTTTCATGGCATCTCCAGACGGCAACAGGTCATCCTTTCGGCTACACTGGACGACAAGTTGAAGGAGTCTTATGACAAGTTGCTAAACGACGGGCGAGATATTCCTGTCATGCTGGAGACAGATGACAAGTTCTTCATCGAAGATGTTGTTCAAAAGATCGGTACCTCAGAGGTTGAGGGGATCTCGGTCCGCTTGTTCGAAAAGGGCACACGGTAAGTGTTGCAAAAGTCTGCTCGCGAAAGAAAAGACTGACATGATTTAGCAAATACAACCCCATGCAGGGAACCGTGAGCTTCAAGTCCGTTGTCAAGAGCCGACCTCTGAACTCTCCTTACCGCGACCCCGAGTACCCATCCGAGTTCATGCCATTCTATCTGTATGGTACAGAAAAGGAGATGCATATTACCCATGTGCTTGTCAAGTCCCCCAACATCTGTCTCTCAGCTGGCAACGTCAAGTTCGAGCCCAGTCTCCCTGCTGCAGTCTCAGGTCTCCTCGGAGAAGGCTTGATTCTCGGCTTCTCTGACATCCCCGAGAACTCGATGCAGCCATTTGCCACCAAGAACAAGGACCTCGGAGACAAGTTCTTCTTCAACCACAACAAAGAGTTCAACGTCCAGATTTGGAAGGACCCCAAGGGCGCCAGTGCCGTTGGGCCTGGTCTGCTATCAGGCCTGGGTGATCCCATCTACGATGGTGTCATGGCGCTTGGCGAAAACGTGTTTTTCGACGTCGAGGGGCCAAATGAGGATAAGCATTACGAGAAGAAGCCTGTGTCAGATTCGTGGCAGAAGAAGCTGGATGAGATCGGAAGCATGTTGGACGGTACACACGTCCATAACCACTGAGAAGGATTTCTCACTTGTCTTTTGATATGTAAACTTATCAAGCTTAGTGTTCAAACAAGATACTAGGTTACTCATGTCCTATATCACCCAGCGTACGTAGCCACATTCATGAAGACAGCTGGTGTCAGCCCCCTCAGTTGTCTCGCGCCATTACAGATTTGGCCTGTTTGGACGCAAGATGCACTGTTGAGTCATGTCGGCAACCATCCTCCCCTCCTTGTCCCAGAGCCTCGCCTCTGAGTACGTTCTTCCGTCGCCTCCTGTGACAGTCTTAATCTCCCTAAAGTTCCACCCGTTGAGATCCACCTCGTTTGTGAAAACTCTCAGTGCAAAATCCAGGCTGGAACATGCACCAGCTGCCTCCAGAGACATGGAAGAGTGCGCCAGTGGGGTGAACGAGAGTGAACCATCGAGGAGAAATCCAACACCTGCCACCTGCTCACCCAGACTGGTCAGCCTATGCTTAGTCTTGAAGTAATCCCCTGTCGTTCTCTCTGGGAGGGTAAGATGTTCTTGTGTCGTAGGTGTTTTGAGACGGCCTAGCAGGTTTCGGTGCATGACTCCTTCTGGAGATGGCCGGATGTGGAAGACTCTTCGCATCAAACTTGCTTCCGTTGCCAGGAGACTGGCCAGTTCTGACGATGCCTTCCCAGAAGTAACCAAGTGCTCATCAACTTGTTCAACATCGAGCAAAGACTCCGGGGCTGCGTATGCCATTGCTGGTGGCGCCGAATACGTCAGGAGACTCTCTTTCTCTGCTAATTGAAAGTCGATCAGAGCAGTGAGACAAGGTCGTCGTTCTTGGTGACCATCCCGTTCCTGGGAGACAAGAACTTGCCGTGTGGCAAAGGTTCGAGTATCACGGATTGATTGAACATGCATGAAGAGTTTGCGATCCGTGAGGGCTGGCCCCAGGTAACTGCCCATCGCTGTGTATAGACGATACCCGGGCTTTACAGTCTGACAAGCAGCCGCAATGGCAACACCAACAGTGCAGCCTCCGTAAGCGATATTTGCTACGTTGGCCATCTTCTCGGGTGGTAGGCACGAAACATACTGGCCAGTTGAGATTTCATCAACTGCAAGTTGTTGTTGTAATGTGCTTGCTAAAGAAGGCATTTGAGTAAATATCGGAGAGTTGAATGAAAGTGAAGATGATGAAAGGCCTTGACAAGTAGCTTGGTCCTTAAATGCACCGGCCTGGTCAGCGCGGGGTTCGGAGTCAGGCTAGTACCGAGGTACCATCTTCCGGGCTTCCAACTGCCAAGATAACTGCGACCAAGTCTTGACGCACGAGGGGGCACATGTCATGATGTCCTCTCCCGTTGTTAAACCCTAGCCTCGGTTGGAAGAAGTCATGGCAAACTTGATGCTCGCTTGAAGCGGGGGTCAAGTGTACAGAGTGGAGAGAAAGAGCATAAGGCTTATAGAACCGAAGCCTTATAGAACCGAAAATGAAGCAGACAAATTGTGAGTGAGCTTAGGTTGAGTGATCAAGGAGCGGTTCTTTAATCTTGCCCCTATTTACGGGCGGTGCACCGGCCTAGTCCAGTATGTGTGCCAGCTTCGCGATATTGTCACCATCAACGCGCATCCCAACCCATTCGTCCATTGACTGGGCTCCAACGGCCTGATAGAACTCGATGCTTGGCTTATTCCACTTCAGCACATTCCACTCCACCCGCACCCCATCCATGGAACTCAGCTCTCGGGCAAGCTCTGACAGGAGTCGCTTGCCATAGCCTTTCCGCCGGTGTTGGAGCCTCACATAAAGATCCTCCACAAAGATCCCCGGCTTTGAAGTCCATGTGCTATAGTTGTAGTAGTAAACAGCCATTCCCGCCAGCTCGCCATCGTTCGTATGAAGTAGCAGGCACCGTGCAGGTCTGTTCGGTGACGGCACATATTCCATGGCGCTTGGAGAGTCATTGGGAACGTCGTGTTCGGGCGCGAAGGCTATTGTTTTCTGTAGGGATTCGACGGTAGCTTGGACGGCATCAGACTGGTTCTCGTAGGCGGCCAGTTCGTGCACAAGGCGTAGGATCTTCACTGCGTCTTCAAAAGAGATTAGCATTAACTACTTGGTAAAAGGGATGAGATGCGCAGGTTACCCGAGGGAAAGGCTTGACGGACTGTGATGCTCATCGTGGCTGGTAGTGATAGACTGTTTCTTTTGGGCGGATCATGGAAGACGTAGGGAATGTTTGTGTAGCCTCTGATGCCAGCAAACCTATTACTATACGGATCATTGTAATATGGGGTTCTCCAAGGGATGCACGGCTCATGCCGGAAAATGGAAAAGAAACGCGACTTCGTTTGTTCGAGTAAAAACACCCCCCAGAAGCTCGTTACCCTTGTCACTACAGGTTGGCCAATCCAGACTTGATTCATCGGACCATCGCTCAGGTAGTCCCAGTTTGGTTAGCCTCTCCGGGGGTGGATGTAAAGGATCGGAGAGGAGGCAGTCAACCCTGCACCTGTGATTCTACCTACCCTACAGCTTCTCAACTAGCAACCGGGCGTATACAGTGTTTTAGGATCGTTTCCTACCTTGCCCATTAAGCCTACGATCTTTAGGCTTAATTAACCCATTAAGGGCTAGGCTATAATTATAATAAAGAATAAATCTTAAATATAATATAATATTATAACCTAATATTAATATAATAACTTAATTAAATTTCTATAATAATAAAAGAGTTATACCTAGCTATATTATTATAAAAATCTAACCTCTTATAAGTATTTTAATTATTTTAATTTTTATATAAAAAATAAAAAAATTATTTATTTTTTTATTTTTTTAAGTTATAATCTCTTAATATTATATCTTTAAATTTAATACTTATAAAAATTATAATTAATTAAATAATTAAAGTTATTAAATTATATAATTATATCGCTATTATTTAATATAAAAACTAATATCTTTTACTTTTTAGCCCCCTCTATAAGATATATAATCTCTTTTATAATATATAATTATTATTATTTCGGGATATTAATATAATAAGAGTTATTATAAATTAAATTATTAAGCTAGATATCTATTTTAAGCTTATAATCCTAGGTAAAGAGATATTTTTTATAACCTTAGAGTACTTAAGGGTATTATAAAACCTTAGGTATTTTATATAATATTAAGAGTTATTATTACTTAAAAGTCTTAGGGATAAAGAGCCTAATAAGTATCTATTTATCGAGGTTATAAAGAGAAATATAGCCTAGATTAATAGCCTATTAGATATAATCTAATAGCTAAGAGAGGCCTAGCGAGAGGAAGACCTATATAGGTAAAGCGGGGAAGTTAGCTATGGGGGGGGGATTAAGGTTTTTAAGTTATTAAGTTATAAGAGTGACTTAAGGGAAGGAAGAAGGTTTTAATTATAAAGATAGAAAGGTTTAGGTAGTAGCTACTAGGGTAAGTTAATAGGAGTATAAGAAGGAAAATATTAGTTAGAGCTTAAATATAATATCTCGGTGAATTACTAAACTTATTAATTAGTAATATACTTAATAAGCGAGTTAGCTAGTTAAGCAAGTTAGCTACTTTTTTTAACCTCTCTAATAGATATCACGATAAAAATACTATAAACCATTTAATTAATTAAAACTACTTATTATACTCTTCCCTAGATATTTTAATTACTACTTAATAGGTCCTTATATTATAGCCGGGCTTACTATAGATACTATAACGCCGAATACCTAGTCGCGCCGACCTCCCTTAACTACTACTCCGCGACGATTTAGCCACTACCTACGTATTAGCATCTATTTAATTAATTACTTGCCTTTCTTCCTCTACCGTTATAACCCCTCTTTTCTATAGCTAGGTTCTTTTTGCCCTCCGGCGCTAGCTAAGTATCTTATTTACCTCTCGAAGATCTTTAACTTTATTAGTTAATAAGGTAACCTTATATATAATTACCTTTATCCCCTTCTTAAGAGACCTTAGGGCTTTAAGGATTAACTCTAGGGAGCTACTTTAATGCCTTTTAATTTATCTTTTAAGGTATTTAGACTAAGATTAGGCCTTAAGTATAGTCCTTAGGGTCCTTAATACCTAAGAGATTAATTAATTAGATACCTCCTTAACCGGCGTTAATATCTATAGCTATATATTAAGCTTCGAGACTATACTTTCTAGGTTAAGAGGAATAAGCCTAGCCCCTTTAAATAATATTTTAATATTTTTTTCTATTATAATAGCTTAAAATATAATATAAAAGGCTAGAAAGAACTTAGTCTTTAAAATATATATAATAAAGCTTTTAATTAAATACTCTATTTCTCGGCTATAAGCCCTCTTAAGTATACTAAAATATATAATATTAAGGGGCTAAAGTAAATAAGATAAATAAGGTAGTATATAAAGCTAGATAATCTTATTATTATTATAATATCTCTTAAATTCGATAGAGTAATAACTTTTATAGCTATTAAGGATTAAGAGATAATAAGTACTAATTAATTAATTAATTATATATTAATTAAAGTACTTAAGCTACTTAAGACCTATCTTATTATTAATTTAGCTATTTTAAGTTATTATAATAGCCTAATCGCCCGGGAGGTTATTTTCTCGGTACTAGTTAGCGAGGTAATATTAGCCCGCGCCGATAATAAATAGCGGGATTAACTAGCCTTCCGCATTAATTACTTAGATTACTATAATCTATTCCTAGTTTCTAGGCTATATTAATTTTAGCTTTAAATACCTTTCTAAGCCTATAATAATTATTTTACTTATAATTATGCCTATAAGGAAGCTAGTCTTATTAAAGTTATAGATATTATCTAATTAGATGCTATACTTCGCGATTATATTTACTATAAGCTAAAACTAATCGCGGATAATAATTAGATCTTCGTATTTAGCTCTCTAGTAGTTATATTTCCGAAAAAAACGCATCTTAAGGTCTAGGTATCGCTTAATAAAGTTATGAGCCTAATACGTGCTAATAGGTGGCGCATCGCGGTCGGTAAGTAATTAATTAGCTATTTCTTTTATATTATAAAGCTAGGGGGGAAATCCTCGTGAATTTAGGTTAAGAATAAAGTAAATAAGGATCTATTCTTCTAGATCTAATAGTCGATGTGATTTATTAAAGGTATCGCGTTAAGACTAGATGCCCTTATGGCGATTAATAAGAGTATTATAATTAACTTTATAGATTATTACGGCGCATCGGAAGCTAAGTTTTAGTTAATTTTAATAAGCCTAAAGGGCAAGAAGTATTCTAGCCTTATAATTAGACTATAATATACTAGGTAGTTAATAATTAATTAATTAAATTAAGAAGATATTAGATGAGGGATTTTTGGCTAACTCGCTTGACTAGCTAACTCGCTTATTAAGTACGTTATATATATTATCTTTAAATATAATGCTATTAAGCCTGCGAAGTAGAAAAACTAGAGATAGCCTTATCGACTGGGATTATGGTGAGAATGGGAGAATTGGCCTTGCCGAAGAATAGTAGATACTCGTGTGACAATCGTGAGATTCCCAAGGGATAACCCGGTCGTATTAGGTCTATATTAGCAAAGGAGAATATTACGTAACCTTAAAAGGTAATATAAGTTATATCTAGTAATATACTTAAGGTATTAAATATAACTAAATTATATTAATAGCTAAGGTAGCTATTATATAAGAAAGTATAATAAGTATATTTTATATACTTATAGTTAATCTTTAGATTAATATTCTTTAGGTTTAATCTAAGGTAGGACTAATATTTCTAATATTTAGTCCTTAGACCGATATAGGCGATACTTAGTTCCTTTAGTCCCTTACTTAGTTAGAATATTTTTATTATATTTCCCCGCTTAGCTTATATTATAGCTATAATATAAGGTTCCCCTTTTATTAGTTTTATCCTTAAGACTAGTTTTAGCGACTAAGTATTATTAATAGGTAACTCTAACTTATAAAAATCTCTTTCTATTAATATAATATTAAGCTAAGTTTCTAAGTATATTTCCTTATAAAAACTTTTTAAAGTATAAAGTCTTTTTATTTATATTAAGGCTTTTAGTTCTAAAATTATATCTTATACTTATTATTTCTACCGGGGCTTATCCTATAAAGTAATCTTTAATTATTTTAATTATTATTTTAATTATATTAATATAAAAGTAATATATAATAGAGCTAATATAGCTTCCTTCTATAGGTATATATTAATATTTCTTTATAGCTATTAGCTAACCTTCTATAATTATAAAAAATATCTAAGAGTATAAGCGCCTAGAAAATAAAGAGGCTAAGGTAGAGGCTACCTTAGAGGAGGTAATAGCTAAGTTTACTTATATCTAGAAATAAAAGAGGTTACTTAAAGTATATAATAATAAGGCCTTTAAGCATAGCCTATATGCCTTAGAGGAGTTAGGCGAGCTCTATAAGGAGTTATTTATTATTATAGAGGTATATTCTTTTAGGGCTATTAATTTAATTAATTAAAATATTATTAGTCTTAATAAGCCTATATTTAGTATTATTAATAGAAGTTTTTTAGAAGGTATTATATATTAATAAGGTATTTTAAGGGTTCTTATATA